TATTGTGAAACACAACCGGTATCATATATATCATATGTGCACATGTGCACTTATCACTTTGCCTAGCAACCATTGTTTCTGTATCATTAAACAATTGAACGTGACGCCAATGAAGAGGGCTGTCACACTTGCTTACCGTGTTTCACTGCACAAATGTACATGAATAAAATGGATAAGAAAGAAATTATTTTACTCGAGTAAGTGTGTCATATAACTTATACGAAACTGGTGCACAATAAATTTCACTCGTCATATAACATATACACATTACTCACTCTCTATGAAGTTTCGACTGACTGACTGACTGAGGTTTGGTTTTGAGCAATACACAACATCACGAGGACACCAGAAATGGGCTTCACACAATGTGTGGGGATTCGAATCGTCGTCTACCCACTAGGCTAACCGCCCCTCTATGAAGTTTGAACAGAAAAGAACCACAATAGTACCAAATATATATTTATTATAGTTTTTGTCTAGAAACATCACTGATATACAGGTACAAATAAATAGGCATGGAATGGCTTGTCATACATGAAAAATTCAAGTATGTCATAAAAATCCTTATTCAGATTCCAATGGGCTTTTGTGAGATTACAAAATAATAGAGATATAGTTTTTAGTTCGCTAAAACTTTTTTTAAAATGCACACGTTTTTTATGTGACTATACTTTATCTGCAAAGGTCTTGAACAAAACTTAATACTTTCTTTACCTTCTTTGTGTAGCATATCTAATTTTCACTGAGAAAGACACTATTTGTTATAGTAGTGAATGTTTTTTTATAGTAAAATTGGAGTTTTGGGCACAATATTACCAAGTGTAGATAAAAAAGAATATGCGAAATAGTATATAGAACTTGATTAATAAAAGCATTAACATGGAAAATACAATTGCATTCAATATGAGCGGAGAGAAAGTAGGACGTCAAGTCTTGGTAAACATTAAGCATAACGTAATGCCAACTCGTGTTATTTCGGGACAAGCCAAATAGTGGTCTTCTTGCAGGTGACGTAAAGAGACGAGCGATGACGTCATGATGACATCCCAATGCTTTACAGATCAGACAGTCGTTTTGTGTTAGAGTGAGTGTATGAATTAGTGGATGACTGACTGACTGACTGAGTTTAGTTTTACGCCGCTTTTAGCAATATTCCAGCAATATCACGGCGGGGGACACCAGAAATGGGCTTCAAACAGTGTGTCCATGTGGGGAATCGAACCCGGGTCTTCGGCGTGACGAGCCAACGCTTAAACCACTAGGCTACCCCACCGCCCCTGATTTCAGTGTGAATGAGTGAGTGAGTTTAGTTTTACGCCGCACTCAGCAATATTCCAGCTTAATGGCTGCGGTCTGTAAATAATCGAGCCTGGACCAGACAATCCAGTGATCAACAGCAGGAGCATCGATCTGCGCTATTGGGAATCGATACCATGTTTCAACCAATTCAGCGAGCCTGACAATTACAAAACAACTTTTGTGAAGTATTGAATAACCTGCATGGAACAATTAAGATGAAGTTTTGTAAAACGTTATTTGTTTCAGAAAATCACAAGAAAAATATGTTATCGGGTTCTATCCTCAAAAAAAAAATCAAAAAGGTTCAACCATACACAGAAAAAAATAACATTTGGAAAGTGTGAACGGACACAGCAATGGTAGACACTCGGATACACACATTTTATCAACTGTCATGCATTAAGTGATAAAAAGTGAAATCTAGGAACATTGTCAAGATTACCTGTTTACAGAAGGCGGGAGGGGTGAAGACAGAAGGGTCTTTGATCCCCAGGGTGATGTCGAAGTATTGCATCGACATGACCATCTTGACTGTTTCCAAGCAGAAAAGAAACAATTGGTGTAGCATGCTATAGTTACAATAAACTATAAAAGAATGTTTATAGTCAGTGAAAATATTCTTCTATTATGGCATCATCTTATGGGGTGATGTTAATCACCATAGGCGGATCCAGATGTGGGGTGCCCCCCCCTTTCCCCTTTTTTGTCCTGAAAGTTTATTAAATAACCATTGAATTTCTCGTGAAAACGGGTGAAAATTAACTAAGCACCCCCTTTCTGAACTGTGCACCTCCTTTCTGAACTGTGCACCCCCTTTCTCAAAAAGCTGTATCCACCCCTGATCACTGGATTGCCTGGTGCAAAAGGGAATATGTACAGACCGCGGTCATTCAGTTAAACAGCAACACACGTACTCAAAAGTCGTTGGTATCAACTGTGTATATCGACTGCATAGGGCATTGCTCATGATGTCATGATGTTGTAAACTTGACCTTGAAAGGCCGCCACAATATAACTGGAATATTGCCAATAGCGGCGTTTAACACTAACACCAAACTCTCTCCCTCAGTTAAAGAAAGTTGTCACAGACACACCCACGTAGACGGACGCACACACGCAAGTACACAGAGAGAGTTTCAGCAGCTCACCGTTGTTAACCGATCCGACCATTGTTTCCCCGACAGGGACACACTGTTTCTCCGTGACACTTAGGGTGATATTCAACAGGGACGACGCCTGCTGCAGTCGCATTGTGTAGATCTTAGCCTGCAGTGTCTCGCTCCCAGCTCCAATTGTCATATCAAACACCTGCTTGGCGTCATCTGAAACATATACCAACAAGAGTGAGTGAGTGAGTTTGGTTTTATGCCGCTTTTAGCAATATTCCAGCAACATCACGACGGGGGACACCAGAAATGGCCTTCACGCATTGTACCCATGTGGGGAGTCGAACCCCGGTCTTCAGCGTGACGAGTGGATGGTTTAAACACTGGGCTACCCTACCGCGCCACCAACAGAGGAGCCCAGTCTGGTTGGTCTCCTCGCATGACAAATTTAGGATTCATTCTTATCCAGTGAGTTCTTCATGATCAGAAATGGGCGTTTGTGTGAGTGAGCTGGTCGCTTTGTCAGTATATATAAGGGCGAGATTAAGAAACGGATAACTGAATGAACAGGATGAAGGAGCGAAAGAGGAAGGAAGACTGAAGAGGATGGAACAATGAAGAAGATGAAGAAATGAAGCGGCCGAAAGAATGAAGAGTATAGGGCATTGTGCAAGGGAGAAAGAGATGATAGAATAATATAAGAAAAGAAATAAAGCGGGTGAAGAAATGAGTGAGTGAGTTGGGATTTACCCCACTTTTAGCAACATTCCAGCAATATAACGGCGGGGAAAACCAGAAATGGGCTTCACACATTGTACCTATGTGGGGAATCGAACCCGGTCTTCGGCGTGACAAGCAAACGCTTAAACCACTAGACCACCCCACCGCCCCGGTGAAGAAATGAAGGGAAAAACAGGTGAAGGATTGAAGAACATGAAGGAATGAAGAGAACAGAGGAATGACGAAACGAAAGGATGATGCAATAAAGGGATGAATGAAAGACGAGTTAAATAAATATGGAGGATGAAAGTTTGAAGAAAGTGAATACTTAATTGATAGATTGAGTTTAGTATTATGCCGCACTCAGCAATATTACAGCTACGGCGGCGGTCTGTAAATTATACATTGAGTCTGGACCAGACAATCCAGTGATCAACAACATGAGCATCGATCTACACAATGGGGATACGATGATGTGTGTCAACCAGGTGGACCATCCGATCCCGTTAGTAGCCTCTTACAGAAGATAGAATAACAACTAAGAAGGTTGTAAAATGAAGTGGACAAAGGAGGAGAAAAATGAAGGAATGAACAGAGTGAAGAGGAATATATAGTTGAAGGAATGAAGAGGATGAAAGAGAAATGAGGGCGAAGAATTGAAGAAATGAAGAATGTAACAGGACAAAGGGCACGAAGGAATGAAGAAGACCTACCAGGCACACATCCATTGTTGAAAAGCGCAGTAGGTTTAGTCTTCTGGCAAATCCTTTTCAACACATCAATAACATACATGGTATTCTGTAACAGAGTGAGTGAGTTAGGTTCACGACCATGTTTGCAGCACTGTTTGCATGTGATAGTTTTGTATATACTCACAAACACGTTTAATCGGTTAATAAAATGTTTGACTTTTTAGAAAATTATATTCAAACTATTTGTTCAAATTATGTCCAAGAAAAAAGCTCAACTCCTTTTTTCAAACTGTCAGTCCCAAGGAGTTCATAAACCATTTCTAATTCCGTTAATTTTCAAATTTACTGTTTAACAAATGTGTATGTGTAATGCCATTTTAACTGAAGAATATTTTATGGTGGGTTTCTGACCGTATTGAAGTCTTGAATCAGCTTGGTGGAGGACATTCCTGCCGCCGTGGTACTGTTGGTGTAGGTGAATACTCGACGGCCGACGGCATCGAAGGCTATCTTGGTTACAATCTGAAACAGAAGGTAGATGAATTTGTGGTTCTGGCTTAAGGTAAGACTGCTTTACACCCAGTTTGTGAAATAGCCACTGGCCCGCTAGCCCATGGCTAGTAAATATCCAGTCGGGCCAGTAAATCTCCACAGTCAGTCGCTCAACTGGCTAGTGAATTTTCATGGGATCATTTTGTAAAAATACATCACTCTCTCCGACTTTTAAATTATGCAAGATTATGGCCAAACAAAAATGTTCATCATATTAGCAGCCTAATGATGAAACCCCCTTCCCATGCCAACATTATCTTATTCTCATCTATTTTTGTAATCTTTTGCTTAGTTTCTGCCTTCAAATTTCGGGCTAGTGATATATTATGTGGGCTAGTAACTTTCAAGCATAGCTAGCCCGACTGGCTAGCAAAAGTTGGAAACTATTTCGTACACTGTTTACACCTATGTAATACGGTAACTGTGCAAGCGTAAGTTCTTGTAGGAGGCCTGCTCCACAGTGCTTAATAACCAAGTAATACGGTAACAATGCTTCCTACACATGTAATACGGTAACATTGCTTCACACCTATGAGTTAGTGAGTTTAGTTTTACGCCCCTTTTAGCAATATTCTAGCAATATCTCGGCGGGGACATCAGGAATGGGTTTCACGCTTTAACCACTAATTCTACCCACTTATGACATTACGGTAACAATGTTTCACGCGCCTATGGGTAAGGGACCGATCATAATTTTATGGATAGAGGGGTGATGATGATTTTATGGAGAAACAAGTACAATTTGAATGACAAACACCCCACCTCCGCCCACCCCCATAATTTTGTTAAAAGTAAGTGAACCCCCCTGCATGTCATGTACAAAATCAATGACCAATGTCATTGTAATACGGTAACAGTGCTTCACACCTATGTAATGGTACCAGCGCATCGTGGCTATGTAATACGGTAACAGGGCATCGTGGCTATGCAATGCGGTAACAGCGCATCGTGGCTATGTAAGGCGGTAACAAACGATCCATATCAACGTTGAGGCAGTATTTCACAAGAATGTAATACTTCAACAGTCAACACATTTCAACCCAACTGCCATTACTACAGGTTTTCACGTGATCAACCAGGGCATGAATCAACACTGGAAATTTCGCAAATGCGATGAATAGAATTGAAGTCCCCATTTCCGTAACCTTGGCCTAGATTTCCAAGCCACGCGATATCATGACTGTGCAGTTAGACCCGTATAACAGCAGTGTATGGTGTAAGAGGTTATAGGTTTGGATTACGCATTGTCATAACGAAATCATTTGTGACTCGGAGAACTGTTGTCAGAACTGGGCTGGTGTGCTTATGTATGTGCGTGCGCTTGTGCGCGCGCGTGTTTCTGTTTGCTTGTGTGTGTGTGTGTGTGTGGGGTGGGGGTGGGGGTGGATGGGATGGGGAGTGGGGTGGGGTAGGGTGGGGAGTGGGGTGCTTAGAAGCGTTTTTTTGTATGGGGTAGCTAGATATTAGTTAGCTACAGTTGCAAAACAAGATTTATTTGAATCGAACTATGATATTGAGTGAGTGAGTGAGGTTTTAGTTTTACGCCGCTTTTTAGCAATATTCCAGCAATATCACGGCGGGGACACCAGAAATGGGCTTAACACATTGTGCCCATGTGGGGAATCGAACCCTGGTCTTCGGCGTGACGAGCCAACGCTTTAACCACTAGGCTACCCCACCGCCCCGAACTATGATATTGGACAAAATACATGTATGAACCCAAAATTATACCTTTTACATCTTCACACAGGAAAAAAATGCATCAATGAAGTCAACGAGTTTTACCACCCGATCCCGTCTGTCACATCTTACATGCATGGGTGGGTGAAGATCGATTCCTTCCCGGGTTCTGTCGGTCAGTAACAGTAATCACAATAATCATAAACTGACTCCAACATATCAGAGCTTCCCTTCAAATCAAAACCTGCACACACAGACACCGACATTTTGAATCACGTTTCACTTATTTAGTCCACTTAAATATACGAATATTTACGGAACTACCCGAAGCATGTCGGACATATACCTGCACCGCTTGTCCTTGGCCGCCTGCGTTGACACCGCCGAGTCCACCCTGAAAACCTTCCCACTGTTTGGGAAAGCAGCAGTTCTTCGCTGTCCGTAGCTGGGCCAAAGCCCGGGGGTAGTAGAGCACTACAGCTAGGGGTAAAGATGAGGGCGAGGCGAGAATGACATTTTTTAGAATCTCTGTGTTCATTACTGCAGCATTATAATACTGAACGTTTGATTGCATTCTTTCAAATGAAACTGTGCTCTAGTACCGATTGAGAATTTGCGTCAGTTGTCAGGTAACCGTTGTTGTTGTAATCTAACCTAACAATCCACGAGTCACAAGTTGACCCGTCAGAGCTCCGAATAGGTTTAATCGGTCTACTCCCATTTGTGAGAACTCCCAATTGTGAGACTCCCAGTTATGAGACAGGGGAGTAGGTAATTAACAAAGAAAACACACCATACTCCCCTGTCTGATAGAATGGATTAACCCTAGCTAATTACTGATTTGCGATGTAAATGAATCTTGTGGAGGTAACTAAATGAAACTTACTTTATTTATATGTACTTAAAAATATATTTATGCAAAAGTAAATATCGATGACGTCACATCCTCCATTTCATTTTGTATTTTATGTTGCATGGGAGCGGTGTTAACATAAGCAGTAATGCTTGTTCACCAATCCCAATTCATTTTCATAAATAATAAAATATGTTTAAACAAAAATGACTTTCAAACTTCATAATAGTCAATAAAAATGTGTTATCATAATTACATATTCTTCTGAATAAATAAAATATTTAATGAACTATTTCTTCTGTGTAAATATAATCTTTGATAATCTATTTCATTAATCAACTCATCAATGAACTATGCCTACTTCGGGTACTCTTCAATAACTGGGCTGATCCCACTTTCATTGTAGGGATGTGGTAACACCACCTATGTGCACTGAACCATTTATTAATGTGTCTCACAACTGGGAGTTCTCACAAATGGGAGGACACCGGTTTAACCTGCCCCGCACAGAAAAGAGTCCGCGATCTGATGGGACATATATTTAAGATGTTTTAGTTGTACATGCTAGTTTTATATTAATATCTGTGATCCAGCTAGGGTCCATGCAGGAAGCAAATGTACTCTAAGTCCCCATGGTCCCTAGTATGGTGATCTACCTTCAGTTGTTGGCAATCTATAGCCTTTCATTTTTTAGTTAAAATGTTTCAGATTTAATTACTAGTTTTAAATGGATATGTGTCATACACTAGTAGTTTTACTGGTCTTCGTCAACAGGCTTTGGATTTCTAAAGTTATTGATCTATAATTAACTCATTAATTGTTCTCGTCACGATATGGCTGAAATATTGCCGATGTGACGATACATATTAACTCACTCACTCACTTTGATAGTAAGAGTACTTGTCTTGGTTTTTCACAACACCGGAATTTGGTTTATGTTAACCATTACCATACATAACAGGGTGGACTACACGTGCCTGTAAACAATTGGTTATTCAACCGAGCACCTTGTCGTAATAGGGATAACTGTACTCATATGGAAATTGCCATCCATTCAATTATCTCCTTTTGTATCACTTCAAAACGCCTTTGAGACCCGTGAAGGTCCGGGTTAGAATGTGCCTTCAGTAACCCATGCTTGTCGTAAGAGGCGACTAACGGGATCGGGTGGTCAGGCTCGCTGACTTGGTTGACACATGGCATCGGTTCCCAATTACGCAGATCGATGCTCATGCTGTTGATCTCTGGATTGTCTGGTCCAGACTCGATTATTTACAGACCACCGCCATATAGCTGGAATATTGCTGTGTGCGGCGTAAAACTAAACTCATTCACTCACACAAAACGCCTATGGAAGAACCGCCACTGAATCATTGCTGTACTGCGTTCGCTCGTCACGCCGAAGACCCGGGTTCAATTCCTCACATGGGTTCAATGTGTTTAGAGACCATTTCCGGTGTCCCCCGCCGTAATATTGCTGGAAAATTGTTAAATGCGGCGTAAAACTAAACTCAATCAGAATCATATGTCGGGATGGGCTGGCCAGGCTCGCTGACTTTGTTGATACGCGTCATCGGTTCCAAATAGCGTAGATCGATGCTCATGCTGTTGATCAGCGGATTGTCTGTTCCAGACTCGAATATTTACCTACCGCCGCCATATAGCTGGAATACTGCTGAGTGCGGCGTAAAACAAAACTTACTCACTTTAGCATTGCCGGAGGGCAGATCGGAAAGGAAATTGATACAGTTCTGAGACTTTAAGACAGACTAGGGTATAGTCCTCGCAAACAAACATAAGCAGGACATACTGGGATTCGAACCCTCGATCACAGGTTTCCGTCTTTCCGAGACAAGCGTGTCCATTCATTTCTTGGTTCAATCGTGACGCCATTTCAAGTAGTATACGAGCTGCACCCCTTCTGATCCAAACGTGATATCCAATCAGATCTTGGTTTCGTCAAGATGGCCGCCAGGGTAAACAGGAAATGATTTGCGTGTCGTCCCTGACAGACAAACAAAACATATTATCCTCACAACCATTACCAAGACAACGACGCGCTGTCAATTCCGAAGGTAAAAACAAGGTGTTGTTTCTGCTGATACGTCAGAAAATGCTGAACAAGATCATATTGCTAATAAATATGTTTAAATGTATGTCATAGGTCACAATATTTATTGACTTCGACAAGCGAACCCACGCAACGAACATCGGGTATTATGAGGGGAGCTAACTCTGCTTGGCTTGAGCCGCTTGGGCAGCCTTGGCGAGTCTGGTGATTTCAGCGACCTCCGCCTGAAGTGCACATTTCAGGGCATCGTCTTGGTGGCCCTTTTCGCACGACTTGCAGGATTTGGTGATCTTGTTCTCGCAGACTTCAGCCTTGCAACGCTCCTCGGCAATGTCTGGAAATGAGATTGTTGTTGAGACGTATGTGGACGAGTGTCCCCTTCACATTCAGTTGGGGGGCCAATAAATGGGACCGGCGTGGCCATCGACGTCGTAATAGCGTCAAGATCGTGTTTGGATTGTACCCTGATTTCATAATGGACCGGGGCGGTGGGGTAGCCTAGTGGTTAAAGCGTTTGCTGGTCACGCCGAGAACCCGGGTACGATTCCTCACATGGGTACAATGTGTGAAGCCCATTTCCGGTTTTCCCCCGCCATGATATTGCTGGAATATTGCTAAAAGCGGCGTAAAACCATACTCACTTACTCACTCATAATGGCCCCCCGTGGAGACATACTAGGACACTCTGGCTCCTCACGTGTAGGTTTACACCGCTTATACCCACATTCCAGCAAAATCACGGCGGGGAACTAGGAGAATGGGTTTTACAAACTGTACCCAAGAGGGGGAATCGAACCCGGACCATAAATCTGAAGAGTGAATGCTGTAAGTAAGTGGCTTATCGCCGATATTCCAGGCGTCTCTTACGACAAGCACGTGTTGCTGAAGACCAGTTATAAGCCACATACCAAAGAACTGGGATCGATTCCTCACAAGGGTAAGATATATGAGGCCATACACCCATAAATTATCTTACCTTTCTTTTATGATTCCAGGGCGATGGGGGTAGCCTAGTGGTTAAAGCGTTCGCTCGCCACGCCGAAGACCCTTGTTCGATTTCCCACATGGGTACAATGTGTGAAGCCCATTTCTGGTCCCCCACCAGGGTATTGTTGGAATATTGCTGAAAGCGGCGTAAAACCATACTCATTCATACTCTGAAGGATGTTTGAGAGTGCGTTACTTACGTTTGATGAGGAATCTCTTTCCAAAGTGTAGACTGCATTTGTGAATGTTGTAATTAAGAACAAGCGGTGTTCCATCAAGCGGTATCTGAAACGTACACACAGAATCAAATTTGGTCAATATTTGTTATTCCATACACGAAAAAGAGCCTGCACATGAGATGGCTGCCGATTTCAGTTCTACCGTTGTTATGAGTAATAAACTGCCACAGTACTGTTATGTCCGCCTTTAGAGCGTGAGGTTGGGTGCGAACCTCTGGTCATGTTACACAAGAAATGGTCTGATTTCTGATCCTAAATTCAAAGAATGTTTTTGATTGCTGATACTCACTTCTGGACCAGACAATCAAGTTATCAACAGCACGAGTATCGATCTACGCAAATAGGATACGATGACATGTGACCACCCGATCCCGTTAGTTGTCTCTTACGACAAGCATGGGTTACTGAAGATCAATTTTAACCCGGATCTTCACGAGTAAACTGTTTAAGCACCAGTACAGCTCATTGTACGAGTACAAAGGGTGTAAGGTACACGCGTCTATGTGCATGTATTAAGTTCAATACTTTCTAAGCTTTCGAACATGTACAATTTAGCAGCGTTTAGAATAACCAATCGATTTCACCTTGAATTGTCGGTAATTTCCTTTGACGTAGTAAATATAGACCTCCATAGAGTGAGTGAGTGAGTGAGTGAGTTGAGCTTTACGCCGCACTCAGCAATATTCCAGCTATATGGCGGTGGTCTGTAAATAATCGAGTCTGGAACAGACAATCTAGTGATCAACAGCATGAGCATCAATCTGCGCAATTGGGAACCGATGCCATGTGTCAACCAAGTCAGCGAGCCTGACCACCCGATCCCGTTAGTCGCCTCTTACGACAAGCATAGTCGCCTTTTGTGGCAAGCGTGGGTTGCTGAAGACCTATTCTACCCCGGATCTTCACGGGCCCACCTCCATAGAATGCATTTGTCGTACTTACAGTGCCAGTCTTGCCATTGAAGAAAGCAGCCACGTTTCCAACGAACGTGCTGATGAGTTTGTCGAGGCCGAGTTTGTCCACCAGAAGACTGGACAAGGCTGGTTCAACAGCGGCCAGCACAGTCGAGAGCTGTCTCTTGGCGTGCTCGCCGTGGACAACCACCAACACGGACAGGATCAGGGCAACTAGGGAAGGGAAGGAATTATGGAATCAACAGACGTAAGCCACTTATAAGTCGTCGACATCGACACAATCAGGGCATCTGGGAAAGGGAAAGAATGGAAACAACTGACGTGACCCACTAGTTGTGGACATCGACGCAATCAGGGCATCTGGGAAAGGGAAAGAATGGAATCAGCTGATGTAACCCACCAACAAGTGGACATCGACACAATCAGGACCGGCCGAAGTTAATATAATCAACATAAAATAAACTGGGAAAGAATTTAATCAACAAAGTAGTCGTGATGTAACCAACACAGACAATCAACACACTAATAGTTTACATCGTCGACACAATCAGGGCCGTCGGGAGATAATGTAATCAACAGAATAATAAAAAAACTAGTCATGGACATCAACACGATCAGGGAAACCTGGAGATATTGTAATCAAGAGAAATAATTAACACACTGGTCATGGACATCAACACGATCAGGGAAACCTGGAGATATTGTAATCAAGAGAAATAATTAACACACTAGTCATGGACATCAACACGATCAGGGAAACCTGGAGATATTGTAATCAAGAGAAATAATTAACACACTGGTCATGGACATCAACACGATCAGGGAAACCTGGAGATATTGTAATCAAGAGAAATAATTAACACACTAGTCATGGACATCAACACGATCAGGGAAACCTGGAGATATTGTAATCAAGAGAAATAATTAACACACTGGTCATGGACATCAACACGATCAGGAAACCAGGAGATATTGTAATCAAGAGAAATAATTAACACACTAGTCATGGACATCAACACGATCAGGAAACCTGGAGATATTGTAATCAAGAGAAATAATTAACACACTGGTCATGGACATCAACACGATCAGGAAACCTGAGATATTGTAATCAAGAGAAATAATTAACACACTGGTCATGGACATCAACACGATCAGGAAACCTGGAGATATTGTAATCAAGAGAAATAATTAACACACTGGTCATGGACATCAACACGATCAGGAAACCTGGAGATATTGTAATCAAGAGAAATAATTAACACACTGGTCATGGACATCAACACGATCAGGAAACCTGGAGATATTGTAATCAAGAGAAATAATTAACACACTGGTCATGGACATCAACACGATCAGGGAAACCTGGAGATATTGTAATCAAGAGAAATAATTAACACACTGGTCATGGACATCAACACGATCAGGGAAACCTGGAGATATTGTAATCAAGAGAAATAATTAACACACTGGTCATGGACATCAACACGATCAGGGAAACCTGGAGATATTGTAATCAAGAGAAATAATTAACACACTGGTCATGGACATCAACACGATCAGGGAAACCTGGAGATATTGTAATCAAGAGAAATAATTAACACACTGGTCATGGACATCAACACGATCAGGGAAACCTGGAGATATTGTAATCAAGAGAGATAATTAACACACTGGTCATGGACATCGACACGATCAGGGAAACCAGGAGATATTGTAATCAAGAGAAATAATTAACACACTGGTCATGGACATCAACACGATCAGGGAAACCTGGAGATATTGTAATCAAGAGAAATAATTAACACACTGGTCATGGACATCAACACGATCAGGGAAACCTGGAGATATTGTAATCAAGAGAAATAATTAACACACTGGTCATGGACATCAACACGATCAGGGGAAACCTGGAGATATTGTAATCAAGAGAAATAATTAACACACTGGTCATGGACATCAACACGATCAGGGAAACCTGGAGATATTGTAATCAAGAGAAATAATTAACACACTGGTCATGGACATCAACACGATCAGGAAACCTGGAGATATTGTAATCAAAGAGAAATAATTAACACACTGGTCATGGACATCAACACGATCAGGAAACCTGGAGATATTGTAATCAAGAGAAATAATTAACACACTAGTCATGGACATCAACACGATCAGGAAACCTGGAGATATTGTAATCAAGAGAAATAATTAACACACTGGTCATGGACATCAACACGATCAGGAAACCTGGAGATATTGTAATCAAGAGAAATAATTAACACACTGGTCATGGACATCAACACGATCAGGAAACCTGGAGATATTGTAATCAAGAGAAATAATTAACACACTGGTCATGGACATCAACACGATCAGGGAAACCTGAGATATTGTAATCAAGAGAAATAATTAACACACTGGTCATGGACATCAACACGATCAGGGAAACCTGGAGATATTGTAATCAAGAGAAATAATTAACACACTGGTCATGGACATCAACACGATCAGGGAAACCTGGAGATATTGTAATCAAGAGAAATAATTAACACACTAGTCATGGACATCAACACGATCAGGGAAACCTGGAGATATTGTAATCAAGAGAAATAATTAACACACTGGTCATGGACATCAACACGATCAGGGAAACCTGGAGATATTGTAATCAAGAGAAATAATTAACACACTGGTCATGGACATCAACACGATCAGGGAAACCTGGAGATATTGTAATCAAGAGAAATAATTAACACACTGGTCGTGGACATCAACACGATCAGGGAAACCTGGAGATATTGTAATCAAGAGAAATAATTAACACACTGGTCGTGGACATCAACACGATCAGGAAACCTGAGATATTGTAATCAAGAGAAATAATTAACACACTGGTCATGGACATCAACACGATCAGGGAAACCTGGAGATATTGTAATCAAAAGACATAATTAACACACTGGTCGTGGACATCAACACGATCAGGGAAACCTGGAGATATTGTAATCAAGAGAAATAATTAACACACTGGTCATGGACATCAACACGATCAGGGAAACCTGGAGATATTGTAATCAAGAGAAATAATTAACACACTGGTCATGGACATCAACACGATCAGGGAAACCTGGAGATATTGTAATCAAGAGAAATAATTAACACACTGGTCATGGACATCAACACGATCAGGGAAACCTGGAGATATTGTAATCAAAAGACATAGTCAAGAAACTAGTTCTGGACATTGATACAATGAGGGTATCCTGGAGAAAATGTAATCATCAAAGATAATCAACAAGCTAGACATGGACATCGACACAATCATTGAAACTTGGAGATAATGTAATCAACAGAGATAATTAACACACTGGTCATGGACATCGACACAATCATTGAAACCTGGAGATAATGTAATCAACAGAGATAATTAACACTGGTCGTGGACATCGACACAATCATTGAAACTTGGAGATTATGTAATCAACAGAGATAATTGACACACTGCTCGTGGACATCGACACAATCATTGAAACTTGGAGATTATGTAATCAACAGAGATAATTAACACACTGGTCGTGGAAATCGACACAATCATTGAAACCTGGAGATAATGTAATCAACAGAGATAATTAACACTGGTCGTGGACATCGACACAATCATTGAAACTTGGAGATTATGTAATCAACAGAGATTATTAACACACTGGTCGTGGACATCGACACAATCATTGAAACTTGGAGATAATGTAATCAACAGAGATAATTGACACACTGGTCGTGGACATCGACACAGTCATTGAAACTTGGAGATAATATAATCAACAGAGATAATTAACACACTGGTCGTGGACATCGACACAGTCATTGAAACTTGGAGATAATATAATCAACAGAGATAATTAACACACTGGTCGTGGACATCGACACAGTCATTGAAACTTGGAGATAATGTAATCAACAGAGATAATTAACACACTGGTCGTGGACATCGACACAGTCATTGAAACTTGGAGATAATGTAATCAACAGAGATAATTAACACACTGGTCGTGGACATCGACACAGTCATTGAAACTTGGAGATAATGTAATCAACAGAGATAATTAACACTGGTCGTGGACATCGACACAATCATTGAAACTTGGAGATAATGTAATCAACAGAGATAATTGACACACTGCTCGTGGACATCGACACAATCATTGAAACTTGGAGATTATGTAATCAACAGAGATTATTAACACTGGTCGTGGACATCGACACAATCATTGAAACCTGGAGATAATGTAATCAACAGAGATAATTAACACACTGGTCGTGGACATCGACACAGTCATTGAAACTTGGAGATAATGTAATCAACAGAGATAATTAACACACTGGTCGTGGACATCGACACAGTCATTGAAACTTGGAGATAATGTAATCAACAGAGATAATTAACACTGGTCGTGGACATCGACACAATCATTGAAACTTGGAGATAATGTAATCAACAGAGATAATTAACACACTGGTCATGGACATCGACACAATCATTGAAACCTGGAGATAATGTAATCAACAGAGATAATTAACACACTGGTCGTGGACATCGACACAATCAGTGCACATGGGAATGAGAACATACCCGTACTTATATGTATGCTCGCTCGTCACGCCGAAAGCCCAGGTTCGAATCCCCACATGGGTAAAATGTGTGAAGCCCATTTCGGGGGTCCCCCGCCGTGATATTGCTGGAATATTGCTAAAAGCAGCGTAAAACCATACTCAGTCAGTGACTCACTCTGCATAGTCCGCTGTATATTAATGAAAGAGCGCTGATAAAGCTGAGAAAGATTTATCGCCTCGTTTGATTTTACCGAGAAGTCGTGTTTTAAAAATTGTCCTACAACAGTTTTTCTTACTAAAGGCATACACCAACCTCTCCTCTCCAATTTAAATGAATCTTTGTATTAGCGTGGGTTCCGTATTGTCGCCCATTTAATACATTGGTAGCTGTTACTGTTTAACTTCGTGTTTTTTCGTCGCTGGTGTTTGTCCTCATTATTTTAGAAACACCTACAGAATTCCGCAGCCGGGGAAACGCTCCAACACTCGCCTCCCACGACCAGCAGAATTTTTTCTGTGGAATTCCAATCGGGGACACTGGGGGCCCAAAATGCAGTGAATCAGAATCTCAGAGTATATCAATGGAAATATCCCCCTTGACAAAGAATAACGATTCATGTAAAGGTCATGTACTTACCTGCAATCTTCATTGTGTCAGAGGAGGTGCAACCTAGCGCTGCAGCTTGACACGGCCTTATATACAGACCTTCCCCACTCCCAGTTTAACCACTCGCCATCTGCGGCGTTCCCATTGCAGTAGCATGCCAAACTCTGGAATTAGAACCGATAAAATCTTTCTTTTCTACCAGCACAATAACAGCGACAAAACCACAATACAATTCCAACTATATCCTGAACTTGTTCCTGAGAATCCGCATGGGATGAAGTATCTTGACCTCTGTTAATAATTGTAGCAGATGCATCAGTAGAATAACTGATGCATTGTTAGCATTGTTACTAGGTGAAGAAACAGTGACAAGCAACAGACTTGAGGCATGGGATTCAGTGGCTTGAGCTCTGTTAACAATTTTAGTAGAATGACTGATGCATTGTTAGCATTGCTAGTAAATACAGAAACAGTGACAATCAAAAGACTCGAGGCATGGAATGTAGTGGCTTGAGCTCTGTTAACAATTTTAGTAGAATAACTGATGCATTGTTAGCATTGCTAGTAGGTAAAGAAACAGTGACAAGCAAAAGACTTGAGGCATGGAATGCAGTGGTTTGAGCTCTGTTAACAATTTTAGTAGAATAACTGATGAATTGTAAGCATTGCTAGTAAACAAAGAAACAGTGACAAGCAACAGACTTGAGGCATGGGAGACAGTGTCTTGAGCTCTGTTAACAATTTTAGTAGAATAACTGATGCATTGTTAGCATTGCTAGTAGGTAAAGAAACAGTGACAATCAACAGACTTGAGGTATGGGATTCAGTGGCTTGAGCTCTGTTAACAATTTTAGTAGAATAACTGATGCATTGTTAGCATTGCTAGTAAATACAGAAACAGTGACAATCAAAAGACTTGTGGCATGGAATGCAGTGGTTTGAGCTCTGTTAACAATTTTAGTAGAATAACTGATGAATTGTTAGCATTGCTAGTAAACAAAGAAACAGTGACAAGCAACAGACTTGAGGCATGGGAGACAGTGGCTTGAGCTCTGTTAACAATTTTAGTAGAATAACTGATGCATGGTAAGCATTGCTAGCAAGTAAAGAAACAGTGACAAGCAACAGACGTGAGGTACGGGAGGCAGTGGCTAGAGCTCTGTTAACAATTTTAGTAGAATAACTGATGCATTGTTAGCATTGCTAGTAAATAAAGAAACAGTGACAAGCAACAGACTTGAGGCATGGAATGCAGTGGCTTGAGCTCTGTTAACAATTTTAGTAGAATAACTGATGCATCGTTAGCATTGCTAGTAAATAAAGAAACAGTGACAATCAACAGACATGAGGTATGGGAGGCAGTGGCTTGAGCTCTGTTAAGAATTTTTGTAGAATAACTGATGCATTGTTAGCATTGCTAGTAAGTAAAGAAACAGTGACAATCACAATCACTTGAAGCATGGGATGCAGTGGCTTGAGCTCTGTTAACAGTTTTAGTAGAATAACTGATGCATTGTTAGCATTGTTAGTAGGTAAAGAAACAGTGACAAGCAACAGACTTGAGGTATGGGATGCATTGGCTTGAGCTCTGTTGACACTTTTAGTAGAATAACTGATGCATTGTTAACATTGCTAGCAAGTAAAGAAACAGTGACAAGCAACAGACTTGAGGCATGGGAGGCAGTGGCTAGAGCTCTGTTAACAATTTTAGTAGAATAATTGATGCATTGTTAGCATTGTTAGTAGGTAAAGAAACAGTGACAATCAACATACGTGAGGTATGGGATGCAGTGGCCTGAGCTCTGTTAACAATTTTAGTAGAATAACTGATGCATTGTTAACATTGCTAGCAAGTAAAGAAACAGTGACAAGCAACAGACTTGAGGTATGGGAGGCAGTGGCTAGAGCTGTGTTAATAATTTTAGTAGAATAACTGATGCATTGTTAGCATTGTTAGTAGGTAAAGAAACAGTGACAATCAACGGACTTGAGGCATGGGATTCAGTGGTTTGAGCTCTGTTAATAATTTTAGTAGAATAACTGATGCATTGTTAGCATTGTTAGTAGGTAAAGAAACAGTGACAATCAACGGACTTGAGGCATGGGATTCAGTGGCTTGAGCTCTGTTAACAATTTTAGTAGAATAACTGATGCATTGTTAGAATTGCTAGTAGGTAAAGAAACAGTGACAATCAACATACGTGAGGTATGGGAGGCAGTGGCCTGAGCTCTGTTAACAGTTTTAGTAGAATAACTGATGCATTGTTAGCATTGTTAGTAGGTAAAGAAACAGGGACAATGAGCAGACTTGACGTATGGGAGGCAGTGGCTTGGCCTTTGTCAACAATGTTTACTTATGATAGCTAAAATGGAAAGAATTTTTAATAAAATAAAAATAAAGAACGATTAACTGCCTACAAGAAACGACGGAGGTCACTGATCCACTTTTTACAAATATGGAAAACAGACGACTTCACTATTGAGCGTGACGATATTCCACCATGACCTTTGCCCATACTACAAGCCTCCATTCTTATCAGTGCTCAACAACGTTAGAGTTCACGTCGATGTTTTCATTGCTGCATGTTGTAAATAATGGTATAATTGTTATCATTGACACCGGCAAGAAAGTGCATAATGGCACAGGTACATAGGACGAATGTGAGTCAGAAATATCGTCAATATTGAACCCAAGTTTAAACGAGCCGTAGGTGATTGAACATCAAGAGTTGAGCTCCTTATGACGTCACCTAACAACGGGTTTGATAATGACCCGTTGTCATGCTATTTGCGAGCATTACCAAGTTACAGTGGCACACTCATTTCTGATAACATGCGTGCGTTTTAATGATAATTCTATCCATTTTAGCTTTAAGAATCTATTATTTACGGACAGCCGCCATATTGCTTGATGCGATGTTAAAAATATACAAACATTAAGCAGCCAAATGCTATAAAACCAGACTTTGTGAAGCGTGGACATATCTTATCTCCTATTGCACAAACCTCCACACAGGGACTGGGAAAGCTGGGGAAAACAGAGTGCGCTCAAGCAGGCTGGCCTGGTTCTGAGATACAGAGATTATTATACTCACATGAGTGTCATACAGATTTTAAAGCTTAGATGCAACCAACAAAATGAATATAATCAAAACACAATTATCATTTATTCATGACACATAATATACATTGCTGATTATGAAAAAACAAATATACAAAATTATAAGCGTGCAATCGCAAATCAAAAGTGCAATATTTTGTACTCGAAACGAAGCACCCGGGATACCGAACCCAGTCAGAGCGGGTCGGCGTGCACTTAAGTGTAACGAAGTCTTTCATTGGCTGGATCATTTGCCGATACGCTCAAGGCTCTTTGTGTGTGTGTGTGTATAGGTATTACCTATTCACTGCTCTTGGGCTATGTGCGCAGCGCAGCACAGCTGATTAAATCACTTTTCACCCGCTTTTTAGTGAATCGTTTGAACTCCGGTTTCGCAGGATTTTTTCATCGCGTTATTTTTCAACTTTATAAGTTGAATTTGCATTTTTTGATAATCTGTTACTGTAAGTCCAGACAGAAAGGTATCCGCAAAGTTGTGTTTTGCGTTGCATGTAAGCTCGACAAGAGTTCGAGCGAGGAACACATATAACACCTTATAAAACACGGACTGCTGAAAATCAATTCTAAAGCGGATCTTCGCGGTTTCAGATGAATTGTACATCTGGCCTGTGATCACCAGTTAGTGAGTGATTTGAGTTTAAAGCCACTTTTAGCAACATTCCAGAATATCACCGCGGGGGACACCAGAAATGGGCTTTACACACTGTACCCATTGGGGGATCGAACCCGAGTGTTCGGCGTGACCACCGAACGCTTTAACCACTAGGCTACGCACCAGCCCGATCACCAGTGAACATTGTCGAGATAAGGCGATAGTGTCTAATAGTTTCACTTGTCTGTCACCCATGATTGGCTGTTGTCTTAACTCAAATATGGCAAGGAAGCCAATTATGCATGGAACGTTGAGTTAATAAATTCCTATGTAAAACGACGTGCGTGACGATGAGGTAGGAACCGGCCAAAATGAAAACAGACAAATTGAAATGTTATTTTCAAAATTAGGCCACTGTAATGTTTTATCACAATAATTCCAGGCAAGCTTCGGTCAAAGGTGGTGAAATGTAGAATAACTGGAAAAGATAACATAACATGTCTGCGACAAGTATTTTTTCCATTTCTCCTTATATTCCATGTCGGATATTTGAAATACTCTGTTGGCAAGTCTATAGGACTATGGTTAGTAGTGAGTGAGTGAGTTTCATTTAACGCCTCATTCAGCAATATTCCAGTTATATGGTGGCGATCTGTAAATAATAGAGTCGGGACCAGACAATCCAGTGATCAACAGCATGAGTATCGATCTACGCAACCAAGGCAGCGAGGCTGACCACCCGATCCCGTTAGTCGCCTCTTACGACAAGCATGGGTTACTGAAGATCAACATTCCAACCCGGACCTTCACGGGTTCTATGGTTAGTAGAATAGTAAGTACATGCATGCATTTATGTTTTCAAAGAATTATTTTATAACATGTCACATTCGGTCTACTTTATCTTATAATAACGTTTTGTCGTTAGTTGCACATAGTATAGATGTATAGTATGGCGTCTGTTGGAAGTCGCGTGACCGATAAAATAAATAAAATAATAAGTTTCATGAAAAAAGAAAAGCCAAAAAACCCAATCCCTTTGAGATACCAGGTTTCGTTCAGTATATAGTTCCGAGATATTTTGGGTTTGGTTTAAACGTAATGATGTATTTTTATTGTTATTTTGATAACAGTTTTAGAAAGTAGAATGTTTGCAACAGTTATGGGCTTGTTGATAACTGACATTGTTTCTACGATTTTGCGAATATTGTATTGTTTCCAGTTCTTAATAGTTGATACAACGGAATCCATTTCTGTACAACATGATATGAACTTATGAAATATAAATGTGTGTGAGGGAGTGAATTGGGTTCTATGCTGCTTTTAGCAATGTTCCAGCAACATCACGGCGGGGGACACCAGGAATGGGCTTCACACATTTTACTCATATGGGGAATCGAACCCGGGCCTTCGGCGTGACGGGCAAATGCTTTAACCACCAGGTTACCCCACCGCGCTATAAATGTGAAGTTTTAGTTACATTAGACGATTTCTCAAAATAACGTGCATTTCAAACATTTAAATTTGATATATATTGTAATCAAAAAGAAAGAAACGAAAGTTTAAAGGCTTTTCGAAAGTGATCTGTTTGATTGACATCTTAGAAGTTGATGAATAATAACAAGGGCATGATACTTTATTTATTATATTATGCTAATAAAGAAGTTGTAATCCATAAAGTATCATAGGTTCTTATTTTTTCGCGGACAGTCCTCGGATGGGTGATCGTGTTTGGGAGCTTGACTCCTGAAAGTTTCTAGGACTTCAGTCCTGCCCCACAACGAAGCACATGTGACGCATGTGGTCTCACCTTAGGCAAGTGAGTTTGTTCAAACTTGCCTCTGTCCACCCAGCAGTAAAACTGGGTACCTGGTATGATACGATGGTAGTCTGAATTATATACTCAGCGCAAGTATTGAAGGGTCACCTATATTATATGGATCTGCAAAGAAATTAAAACAAATATTAGAGACATAGTGATTTATATGTATTGAGTTTCATTTCAACAGTGATAACAAAAGAAATCGCATAAATGCAAAATGGCGCTTGTAACTAGCACAGTTTAAAGGGTACCCTTCATAAGCAAGTTCACACACAGTAGTCAAAACTGCTGGTTGCAGTACAGAGTCAGTATCTGGTGTAACCGCCCCTGCTGTTGATCCCGTCTGTGACCTCATACTCCTTACCAGGTTCATTATGAAGGCTTGGGGTATGGCATCCCACTCCTGGAGCAGAGCTCTCTGCAGTGTCCTCAGATCATGTGGCATAGGGTGTCTTCGGTAAACGCAACGCCCAAGGTCATCCCATACATGTTCAATGGGATTCAAGTCGGGGGAGCAAGGAGGCCAGTCCATTCTCCTAATGCCCTGTTGCTGAATGAAGTCGTTGACGACGTGTCCACGGTGCGGTCGAGCGTTATCATCCTGGAGGATTGGGGGACCTCTGTAGTGACGCATGACCCTCATGAATGGTACTACAATTGGAGCCACTATCTCATCTCCGTAGCGCAGTGTAGTGTGATTTCCCATAATAACGTGTAATCGTGTCTTTGCTGTAGCTGTAATTCCACCCCAGACCATTATGGAACCACCGTCGAATCGATTATGCGCCACAACAGCAGCATCTGCAAAACGTTCATGACGTCGTCTGTAGATTCTCAAACGGCCATAATGAAATGAAACGTTAATCCGGCTTTCATCAGTAAGCAAGACTGAGGACCACTGACGTTGATTCCAGCGCTGATGACGTCTGCACCATAGTAAACGTGCTTGGCGGTGACGTGCTGTCAGTTGTGGACGAACAGCTGGACGTCGGGAACGGAGACCAGCTGAACGTAGCCTGCTTCTTACTGTTGTCTGACTAATGCGGACGTTGGTGGCGTTAAAGAGTTCATCTCTCAACTGGCGTGACGTCAGAAATCGGTTGCGTAGAGCAAGGTTGACGAGGTAACGGTCCTGTCTCTGTGTGGTAACCCTAGGACGCCCAGGTCTTTGGGCATAAGCAACAGTTCCAGTCGCCTGATGCCGCTGCCAGAGTCTCCCAATCACACTCTGAGTGACGTTAAAATGTGCAGCAACCTGACGTTGGCTACCACCCGCCTGCGCTTGGAGCATGCCAATGGCTCGACCTCGATTTTCAATAGTCAAAAAACGTCGCATTCTTTCAAGTGGATTTTTACTGTCAAAGAGGCCTGAAAGCACGTGCTTGTCCCCCGATTTGCACGTGCCCATACGTGATAGGTTTGCGTTCGATTGTAACGATCTGTGTTCATGCATGAAAATCGTCAATTGTTGTAATAATTAAAACTGTTTGCTTACTTTTTTTCATTATTTTCTGTGGTTTAAATGTTGTTCCCACTACTAATGCCATAATCGTTAATCATGATTGTAACCTCTAACAACTAATGCTTGTCTTACTGTCAACTCTGAATATGATTAAAGCAGCTTTAATTTCTGCCAGTCATTCATATGGGTGACCCTTCAATAATTGAGACCGCCGCCATATAACTGGAATATTGCTGAGTGCGGCGTTAACCAACCAACCAATAAAGGGCCGGTGGGGTAGCCTAGTGGTTAAAGCGTTCGCTAATCACGCCGAAGACCCGGGTTCGATTCCTTACATAGGTACAATGTGTGAAGCCAATTTCTGGTGTCCCCCGCCGTGATAGTGCTGGAAAATTGCTAAAATGGCGTATAACTAAACTCACTCACTCACTCTACACGCCTAAGGGACACAACTCTTCACAGCGACAGGGGCGCCATACACGACAGGGCCCCGTCGCCTCATAGTGGACATTTTGAGAGTATCAGCAATTTATTACCTCGCCAAAACAGCGTGCATATCATGTGATACAGAGCAGCTTAACAATTTACAGAATCACAATTGATTGGATGTTTGATTGCATTATTCATTCAATACAAATTAACCCAAACATGTCAGCAGGGTGGCGGCTACGAGGAAGGTCAAGGTCACAGACGGGAACGTTGATGGCGACGTGTCAGAGATGAAGGGGTCCATCACAAAGCGTTGAGGTAGGATGAACTTTGGCTTGGCCACCACCGCCACTCCAACGTTGCTCCCAGCTGGCGTCGTCGGGCAGTCTGGTGACGCAATTGAGACAATAATTTATTTACATAATTAACAGAACATTGTTACAGCCTCTTCTAACATACAGCAACAGCAACGTGAAGAAACATCTTGTGAGTGAGTGAGTATGGTATTACGCCGCTTACAGCAATATTCCAGCAATATTACGGCGAGGGACACCAGAAATGGCTTTCACGACTTCTGCACCTTTTGGGAATGGAAGCCGGGTGTTTTCTGTGAAGACTGACTGACTGAGTTTGGGTTTACGCCGCTTTTAGCAATATTCCAGCAATATCACGGCGGGGGACACCAGAAATGGGCTTCACTCATTGTACCAATGTGGGGACTCGAACCCGGGTCTTCGGCGTGGCTCGTCAAACCACTAGCCCCTCTCTGTGAAGAGCGAACGCTTTAACCATTAAGCTACCAAACCGCCCCCAAGAAATATCTAACTAAGTAACTGACACATATTTTATTACCTAGTATTCTTTTGATCAATTCATGAAATACCCCGTCGATCTAATTCAATCTGGTTAGAGTTTTCACGATTAGGCATCGGGTCCTCGTTGATTTAAACAATTGCTGTTTTCTTGTGACAAGGTTAAACAGATGTAAAGTTCCGTCACTACAAAGTGGTGTTTAACCAACAACTCAGTTCAAAGACATATTATCTCACGCAACCATCCACCAGTCCACTTACCAACACACTCACTCCAAACCCCATCCACCCACCCATCCACATACTCGTAAAACAAGTCACCTACCCCATAACTACTTCACCCAGTCACCCGTCCACTCCCCCACTACCCCGTCCGTCACTCGCTCACCCTACCGTCCGTGCAAAAAATAAAGTTTTGAAGTCGCACCAACTGCACATTTATTGATGGTTTCATGGCAATAATCCAGTTCACTCACTCACTCACTCACTCACTCAGTAACTCACTCCTTGCACAACAGCTCTTAAAGTCCTTCAACACTGCATTCATCAAGGTAAACCTCTCACTCATTGCACGATAGCTCTTAAAGTCCCTTCAACACTGCATTCACCAAGGTAAACCTCACTCACTCATTGCACGATAGCTCTTAAAGTACCTTCAACACTGCATTCACCAAGGTAAACCTCACTCACTCACTCACTCAGTAACCCACTCATTGCACAATAGCTCTTGAAGTCCTTTCAACACTACATTCATCAAGGCGATCCGTGAAGGTCTGGGTTAGAATATTGATCTTCAGTAACCCATGCTTGTCGTAAGAGGCGACAAACGGGATCGGGTGGTCAGTTTCGCTGACTTGGTTGACACGTCATCGGTTCCCAATTGCGCAGATCAATGCTCATGCTTTTGATCACTGGATTGTCTGGACCAGACTCTATTATTTACAGACCGCCGCCATATAGTTGGAATATTGCTGAGTGCGGCGTAAAACTAAACTCACTCACTCACTCACTCCACTGTACCTTTTGACACATCAACGCCACATTCATTGGTGTCCGTGGGGTCAAGCCAAAACTTCACGTCCGTCTTCAGGATGTAGCCAGTCCGGCAGACACACCCAGCTGAGCGGCTACACACAGCGTTGGGGTCAGCGCAGGGGGTTCTTCACCCCACAGTATTGACCCACGACCCTCTGGAACCAGAACACGCACCCCGTACTGGACTTGCTGGTCCAGGGGAAGCAGGTACACACGCCCCCAGCACACCAGGACTTGGGGTCAGTGCACTCTGAGGACTTTGTGCAGGCTTCACCAATTTTGGATGCTGAAAATATATTTCATTGTAAAGGGTGAGAGCTTGCCATATAAATTGCTCTAGGGATGTTAAACACCATACATGTTTCTTTACTTCCCCCCACGTGTATATATTCAGTTACACGATGAAATAATTTGTTTACGTATAGCCTGGGTCTACAAGAAACTATATTTGAGAACATCCAACGATTGCTTTGTGTATAAACACATGTTTTCAAAAGTTATTTGGTAACACAGCAAAGTAATATAATTCAAGACATCAAACCAATCCCACCCAAATTAGACCAATTATCAAACGGTCCACCACCTTTCTTGTTACCTCAACTTGACAATTTATCATCAGCACTCCCACTACGACAACAGCGACAACTACCACTGCATGGGATTCCGCAACTACGTCGACAGAGTCTTCACTGTGTCGTGTTGAATCCTAGTGAGTAGTTCCCAGATATGTATGCTTGTTACAACAGTTCGCTCGTCACGCCGAAGAGCCGGGTCCGATTCCCCACATGGGTAGAATGTGTGAAGATCATTTCTGGTGTCCTCCGCCGTGATATTGCTGAAATATTGCTAAAATCAGCGTAAATCCAAACTCACTCACTCACTGTTACAACAGGTTGTAGTTTAGTGAGTTGGGTTTTACGCCGCTTTTTGCAATATTCCACCAATATCACGGCGGGGACACATTGTACCCGTGTGGTAATCTGACCCGGGTCTTCGGCGTGACGAGCGGACGTCGGAACCCTGGACATGCGGACATACCTGCGACACACGCCGTCTTGTCCGAGCTGGATCTGAATAGTCTCTGACACCTGCATACCGGCTGGCCACACCCCACCTTCTGACAAGCCGAGTTGAGGGGACACTGCTCACTCACCTCGCAGACCTGACCTAACTTTTTATCTGAGAAAGAAAACCCATTGGTGTCAAAACCAATAACGATTGTTTTTTTCGCCCGTGTTGGATAAAGATTGTGTATATTGCTGCGCGTCAAGCAACGAAGTTATACATTTTAATGCAAATTGTGTGAGAGAGTGAGTCTAGTTTTACGTCGTTTGTAGCAATATTTCAGCAATATTACGGCGGGGAACACCACAAATGGGCTTCACACATTCTACCCATGTGGGGAATCGAACCTGGGTCTTCAGCGTGACGAGGGGACGCTTTAACCATTAGGCTACCCCACCGCCCTTGTTAGTTTTAGGAGTAATTCTGATACTACTGTCTGGATTTGAATTTTGGCAGCATGCGTCTTGACGCACGTTTGAGTTGAAAATAAGTGATATTTACGTACCCCTTGCTATCGTTGTTGTTGGTGTTTGTGTCGTTGTAGATGTCACGCATTCTGCTGTTAAACGTGAAAAGAAAAACAATATGAACACCTTGTCTTTTTTTAAGGATTATTTTGAAGAAACCTAAGAAAAAAATATATAGACGACATGAATACCCTCCAACAAATAATGTGCTTTCAGGGTTTAAGCCGAAAGTAATCGCTCACCAGATATGCTTGGTATGCTGTTTGTTTAAAGATATACTAAGTGTTCTGGGTAGAATGGTTGGTTTGTTGATAAAAGCCGCACTCAGCAGTATTTAAGCTATATGGCGGTGGTCTGTAAATAATAGAGTCTGGACCACACAATCCAGTGATCAACATCATGAACATCGTTCTACGCAATTGGGATACGGTGACATGCGACGGCGGCAAGAAAATAAACCAGACAATCAAATGACTGATGGACTGGAAAATCCATTTAGATAATTTTGAGTACTGAGATTCTGAAGCTTATATGTAAAGAAAAACTTTTGGTAAATCGATTTGAATTACAGGTTTAATGTCTCGGACTACACACTTCTTTCAGTATTCCAGGAATATGGCGCCGGTCTGTAAATAATCGAGTCTGGACCAGACAATCCAATATTCAACAGCATGGGTAACTGGCATACGTTGACATAATTTTGTCAAACAAGTCAGCGAGCCTGATCACCCGATCCCGTTAGTAGCCTCTTACGACAAGCATGGGTCACTGAAGATCAATTCTAACCCGGATCTTCACGGTTGAAATAAAAAGGAATAGCAAGACGCACTGAGTGAGAAGTTCCCCTTGACGCATTCAGTCCTGTCATACGGGTTGTCCCAGAATTCCTCCTCCGTCTTGTTTCTGTACCCACTCTTGCACAGGCACGTCCCATCCCTCGCGCAGAGGGCGTTGGTGTCGAGGCAGTCACTGGTAGCACCACAAGGCTCCCCGATTACCCAGAACCCCCTAATTGCGCAAGTGTTCCGGTTGGTTTCTCGGACGAAGCTTGAACATTTACAGGTTCCGTCACAGTATGACAGAAAGGGGACGCACTCGGACACGTCGGCACATGCGTTGTTGATGAGCTTGCCTGTAAAATATCAACATTCAAGAAGCCCTCATTCAATACCCATGTTGTTCTCAGGCCTGGGACGAAAAGTCATTTGAACCCGTCTGTAGAGCGTTCGCTCGCCACGCCAGGGCCAAAAACACATATATATACAAAAAGATCCCCCCAAAACAACAACACCAATAAACACACACACAAGAGAAAAATAAAAATGGGGTCAATATTAAATTTTGCTACAATTTAAACTCCATCTAGAATAGGAACCGATTTTTTTGGGTATTTCAGTTTTGAAATGGCTAAACAATTCTAATTACGATCGTTTGTGCATGGGGTCATGAAACAGGGGCGTAGGAACAGGGGATGGGGTTGGCTTTTGGGGCCCCCCACCCCCCGACCCCCGGACATTTTTCAAGAGGAAACCACATCTACCTTACCATAACTAAAACATCATTTTGATTTTCAATACTTACCTCAAATTAGCTCCCGCTCTGAAAACCGTACCTACGCCCCTGTGAAATCAATGTATGCAAGGATCGTTTAGCAAATCTAGGGCCTGGTTTCCGTGACAGTGACCATGGAATATGCCCAAACTTTTGTATTTCGTCGACTGTCATAAAAGTTTAACACTATATACATGGCTGTAATAGTGCCCATGCGGTTTGAAATTTAAACACAACCTTACAAGTGATGTTCGAAATGTCAGCAGATGTACCCACACCATGTAAAAGTTGAGAATGCCTTAGAAGCAAGCTGTTTTGTCCCTCGTCGCCATGAAGCCCGTTTTCCAAACGGAAACAGACCTTGACACTGGAGTTAGTGAGTGAGTCGGTATGGTCTTATGCCGCTTTTAGCAATATTCTAGCAACATCACGGCGGGGAACACCTAAATGGGCTTCACAGACTGTACCCATATGGGGATTCGAACCCGGGTCTTCAGGGTAACGCTTTAACCATCAGGCTACACATGTCACATGTACCATGTCTCCAACCACTCGTCACATGTACCATTTCTCCAATCACTCGCCACATATACCATTTCTTCATTCACTCGCCACATGTACCATTTCTCCATTCACTCGTCACATGTACCATTTCTCCATTCACTCGTCACATGTACCATTTCTCCAATCTCTCGCCACACGTACCATTTCTCCATTCACTCGCCACATGTACCATTTCTCCATTCACTCGTCACATGTACCATTTCTCCATCTCTCGCCACACGTACCATTTCTCCAATCAGTCGTCACATGTACCATTTCTCCAATCAGTCGCCACATATACCATTTTTCCATTCACTCACCACATGTACCATTTCTCCAATCACTCGCCACATGTACCATTTCTCCAATCTCTCGTCACATGTACCATTTCTCCAATCTCTCGCCACACGTACCATTTCTCCATTCACTCGCCACATGTACCATTTCTTCATTCACTCGCCACATGTACCATTTCTCCATTCACTCGTCACATGTACCATTTCTCCATTCACTCGTCACATGTACCATTTCTCCAATCTCTCGCCACATGTACCATTTCTCCATTCACTCGCCACATGTACCATTTCTCCATTCAGTCGTCACATGTACCATTTCTCCATTCACTCGTCACATGTACCATTTCTCCAATCTCTCGCCACATGTACCATTTCTCCATTCACTCGCCACATGTACCATTTCTCCATTCACTCGTCACATGTACCATTTCTCCAATCTCTCGCCACACGTACCATTTCTCCAATCAGTCGTCACATGTACCATTTCTCCAATCAGTCGCCACATATACCATTTTTCCATTCACTCACCACATGTACCATTTCTCCATTCACTCGCCACATGTACCATTTCTCCAATCTCTCGTCACATGTACCATTTCTCCAATCTCTCGCCACATGTATCATTTCTCCAATCTCTCGCCACACGTACCATTTCTCCAACCACTCGTCACATGTACCCTTTCTTCAATCTCTCGTCACATGTACCATTTCTCCAATCACTCGTCAAATGTACCATTTCTCCAATCACTCGTCACATGTACCATTTCTCCAACCACTCGTCACATGTACCATTTCTCCAATCACTCGTCACATGTACCATTTCTCCAATCACTCGTCACATGTACCATTTCCCCATTGTCTCGTCACATGTACCCTTTCTTCAATCTCTCGTCACATGTACCATTTCTCCAACCAGTCGTCACATGTACCATTTCTCAAATCTCTCGTCACATGTACCATTTCTTCAATCTATCGTCACACGTACCATTTCTCCAATCACTCGTCACATGTACCATTTCTCCAATCACTCGTCACATGTACCATTTCTCCAATCAGTCGTCACATATACTATTTCTCCAATCAGTCGTCACATATACCATTTCTCCAATCACTCGTCACATATACAATATTTCAAATCAGTCGTCACATATACAATATCTCCAATCAGTCGTCACATGCACCATTTTCCCAATCACTCGTCACATGTACCATTTCTCCAATCACTCGTCACGTGTACCATTTCTCCAAACACTCGTCACATGTACCATTTCTCCAATCACTCGTCATATGTACCATTTCTCAAACCAGTCGTCACATGTACCATTTCTCCAATCACTCGTCACATGTACCATTTCTCCAATCATTCGTCACATGTATCATTTCTCCATTGTCTCGTCACATGTACCCTTTCTTCAATCTCCCGTCACATGTACCATTTCTCCAATCTCTCGTCACATGTACCCGTTCTTCAATCTATCGTCACATGTACCATTTTTTAAATCAATCGTCAAATGTACCATTTCTCCAATCACTCGTCACATATACACTATCACCAATTGGTCGTCACATATACAATATCTCCAATCAGTCGTCACATCAACTATTTCTCCAATCAGTCGTCACATATACTATTTCTCTAATCAGTCGTCACATATACTATTTCTCCAATCAGTAGTCACATATACCATTTTTCCAATCACTCGTCACATGTACCATTTCAGGCTACCCCGCCGTCCTATTGACATTGGAAGATGGAAATACCTCCAAAACAAGCTGGTTAGTTTTTTGTAATCACGAAAACCGTGCAAATAGATTCTGGTGAGATGCTAACGCTTTGTATGTACATGTACTTATATGAGCAGGTGAAGGTCGACGTCAAATACCTTTAAAGCAAGCTGTGTTATCTCTGGTCGCCACGAAGCCCGTGTTGCACATACAAACAGATCCTGCACATCCTCTGACTCTGCAGGAAGAGTCGGCGGGACAATCAGCATCCTCGGCACATGCATCGAACACCTTGACCACTGCTGCAAGACAGGTACATCATATGCATTACACACGTGTACACTGAACTGGCCGGCAAGAAACGAATACACCCATGTCTGATTGTGAACAAACAAGACAGAGTTCATGGAGAAGAGCAGTTGCTTGCAAACTATATCATTTTGTGAGAATGTGCCAAATGTATTCTTTTGTGTGTGTGTGTGTGTGTGTTTGTGTGTATATGTATATATACATGTGTGTGTGTATTTGTGTGTATATGTATATATACATGTGTGTGTATATGTATATATACATGTGTGTGTATTTGTGTGTGTATCTGTGTGAGAGAAAACATCCCAACACATTCAATGCCGATAGACCTAGTCAATAAGTAACCTTTTAGAACTTTAATTCTGAACCAAGTGGTGTCGCAGTGAGAACTTTATGACGATACTTTAAAGTTTCTAATGACATCTCACTCACTCAGCCACCCTAAACCCACTCACTCACTCACTCACTCACTCACTCACTCAACCACCCACCTTAAACCAACTCACTCACTCACTCACTCACCCACCCTAAACCCACTCACTCACTCACCCACCCTAAACCCACTCACTCACTCACCCACACTAAACTCACTCACTCACTCATTTACTCAGTATTTGTCACCTGTGGTTGCTGTCTCAGCGGTTGTAGCCGTTGCTCCAGTGGTATCTGTAGCAGACGTAGTGGCTGTAGTATCCGTGGTTTCAGTTGCAGCTGTAGTAGCTGCATTTGCAGTCGTGTCCGTACTTGAGCTGGTCGTGTCAGACGTACTTGTGGTCGTAGCAGGTGTCGTAGAAGTTGTAGTTGTGGACTGAGTTGTTGTTACCGGGCAAAGTGTCGGGTTTTCTGAAAAACCAAAATGCAATACCATTCCTATCATTGATTATACCATTAAGAGATCCAATGACCACACATAAAACTACGTACTACGTCACATGTACAATTACAGCAATAAATCACCGCATCTACAATTACTGAATTCTCCAATCTCTCGTCACATATACCATTTCTCCAATCACTCGTCACATATACCATTCTCCAATCACTCGTCACATGTACCATTTCTCCATTCACTCGCCACATGTACCATTTCTCCAATCTCTCGCCACATGTACCATTTCTCCAATCTCTCGCCACAAGTACCATTTCTCCAATGAGTCGTCACATGTACCATTTCTCCAATCACTCGTCACATGTACCATTTCTCAAATCTCTCGTCACATGTACCATTTCTCCATTCACTCGTCACATGTACCATTTCTCCAATCACTCGTCACATGTACCATTTCTCCAATCACTCGTCACATGTAACATTTCTCCAATCTCTCGTCACATGTACCATTTCTCCAACCACTCGTCACATGTACCATTTCTCCAATCACTCACCACATGTACCATTTCTCCAATCCCTCGTCACATGTACCATGTCTCCAACCACTCGCCACATGTACCATGTCTCCAACCACTCGTCACATGTATCATTTCTCCAATCACTCGCCACATACACCATTTCTCCATTCACTCGCCACATGTACCATTTCTCCATTCACCCGTCACATGTACCATTTCTCCAATCTCTCGCCACACGTACCATTTCTCCAATCTCTCGTCACATGTACCATTTCTCCAATCAGTCGTCACACGTACCATTTTTCCATTCACTCACCACATGTACCATTTCTCCAACCAGTCGTCACATGTACCATTTCTCCAATCACTCGTCACATCTACCATTTCTCCAGTCACTCGTCATATGTACCATTTCTCCAATCAGTCGTCACATGTACCATTTCTCCAATCACTCGTCACATGTACCATTTCTCCAATCATTCGTCACATGTATCATTTCTCCATTGTCTCGTCACATGTACCCTTTCTTCAATCTCCCGTCACATGTACCATTTCTCCAATCTCTCGTCACATGTACCCGTTCTTCAATCTATCGTCACATGTACCATTTTTTAAATCAATCGTCAAATGTACCATTTCTCCAATCACTCGTCACATATACACTATCACCAATCGGGCGTCACATATACAATATCTCCAATCAGTCGTCACATCAACTATTTCTCCAATCAGTCGTCACATATACTATTTCTCTAATCAGTCGTCACATATACTATTTCTCCAATCAGTAGTCACATATACCATTTTTCCAATCACTCGTCACATGTACTATTTCTCTAATCTCTCGTCACATGTACCATTTCTTCAATCAGTCGTCACATGTACCATTTCTCCAATCACTCGTCACATGTACCATTTCTCCAATCAGTCGTCACATATACAATATCTCCAATCACTAGTCACATATGCAATATCTCCAATCAGTCGTGATCTATACAATATATCCAATCAGTCGTCACACATACAATATCTAAATTCAGTCGTCACATATACAATATATCCAATCAGTCGTCACATGTACAATATCTCCAATCAGTCGTCACATATACAATATCTCAATTCAGTGGTCACATATACAATATCTCCAATCAGTCGTCACATATATAATATCTCCAATCGGTCGTCACATGTACAATATCTCCAATCAGTCGTCACATATACAATATATCCAATCAGTCGTCACATGTACAATATCTCCAATCAGTCGACACATATGCAATATCTCCAATCAGTCGTCACATATACAATATCTCCAATCGGTCGTCACATGTACAATATCTCCAATCAGTCGTCACAAGTACAATATGTCCAATCAGTCGTCACAAGTACAATATCTCTAATCAGTCGTCACATGTACAATATCTTCAATCAGTCGTCACATGTACCATGTCTCCAACCACTCGTCACATGTACTATGTCTCCAACCACTCGTCACATGTACCATTTCTCCAATCACTCGCCACATATACCATTTCTCCATTCACTCGTCACATGTACCATTTCTCCAATCTCTCGCCACACGTACCATTTCTCCAACCACTCGTCACATGTACCATTTCTCCAATCAGAAGTCACGTATACCATTTCTGCAATCACTCGTCACATGTACCATTTCTCCAATCACTCGTCACATGTACCATTTCCCCATTGTCTCGTCACATGTACCCTTTCTTCAATCTCTCGTCACATGTACCATTTCTCCAATCACTCGTCACATGTACCATTTCTCCAATCTCTCGTCACATGTACCATTTCTCCAATCACTCGTCACATGTACCATTTCCCCATTGTCTCGTCACATGTACCCTTTCTTCAATCTCTCGTCACATGTACCATTTCTCCAATCTCTCGTCACACGTACCATTTCTCCAATCAGTCGTCACATATACTATATCTCTAATCAGTCGTCACATATACTATTTCTCCAATCAGTCGTCACATAAACTATTTCTCCAACCAGTCGTCACATATACAATATATCCAATTCAGTCGTCACATGTACAATATCTCCAATCAATCGTCTCATATACAATATCTCAATTCAGTCGTCACATATACAATATCTCCAATCAGCCGTCACATATACAATATCTCAATTCAGTCGTCACATATACAATATCTCCAATCAGTCGTCACATATATAATATCTCCAATCGGTCGTCACATGTACAATATCTCCAATCAGCCGTCACATATACAATATATCCAATCAGTTGTCACATAAACTATTTCTCCAACCAGTCGTCACATATACTATTTCTCCAACCAGTCGTCACATACACTATTTCTCCAACCAGTCGTCACATAAACTATTTCTCCAATCAGTCGTCACATATACTATGTTTCCAATCATTCGTCACATGAACCATTTCTCCATTTTCTCGTCACATATACTATTTCTCCAATCACTCGTCACATGTACCATTTGTCCAATCACTCGCCGCATGTACCATTTCTCCAATCAGTCGTCACATGTACCATTTCTCCATTGTCTCGTCACATGTACCCTTTCTTCAATCTCTCCTCACATGTACCATTTCTCCAATCTCTCGCCACATGTACCCTTTCTTCAATCTATCGTCACACGTACCATTTCTTAAATCAACCGAAATGGTTCACATAAACTATTTCTCAAATCAGTCGTCACATATACTATATCTCTAATCAGTCGTCACATATACTATTTCTCCAATCAGTCGTCACATATACTATTTCTCCAACCAGTCGTCACATATACTATGTTTCCAATCATTCGTCACATGAACCATTTCTCCATTTTCTCGTCACATGTACCATTTCTCCAATCACTCGTCACATGTACCATTTGTCCAATGACTCGTCACATGTGCAATTTCTCCAATCACTCGTCACATATACAATATATCCAATCAATCGTCACATGCACCATTTCTCCAATCACTCGTCACATCTACCATTTCTCCAACCACTCGTCACATGTACCATTTCTCCAAACACTCGTCACATATACTATTTCTCCAATCACTCGTCACATGTACCATTTGTCCAATCACTCGCCGCATGTACCATTTCTCCAATCATTCGTCACATGTACCATTTCTCCAATGAGTCGTCACATGTACCATTTCCCCAATCTCTCGTCACATGTACCATTTCTCCATTTTTTCGTCATATGTACCATTTCTCCAACCAGTCGTCACATGTACCATTTCTCCAATCACTCGTCATATGAACCATTTCTCGAACCATTTGTCACATGTACCATTTCTCCAATCACTCGTCACATGTATCATTTCTCCAATCATTCGTCACATGTATCATTTCTCCATTGTCTCGTCACATGTACCCTTTCTTCAATCTCTCCTCACATGTACCATTTCTCCAATCTCTCGTCACATGTACCCTTTCTTCAATCTATCGTCACACGTACCATTTCTTAAATCAACCGAAATGGTTCACATAAACTATTTCTCAAATCAGTCGTCACATATACTATATCTTTAATCAGTCGTCACATATACTATTTCTCCAATCAGTCGTCACATATACAATATCTCCAATCGGTCGTCACATGTACAATATCTCCAATCGGTCGTGACATGGCGGTAAACATGTATCACCTGCATCACTCCGTGCTATCAAGCTGACACTATATATACGTCACATATACTATTTCTCTAATCAGTCGTCACATATACTATTTCTCCAATCAGTAGTCACATATACCATTTTTCCAATCACTCGTCACATGTACCATTTCTCTAATCTCTCGTCACATGTACCATTTCTTCAATCAGTCGTCACATGTACCATTTCTCCAATCAGTCGTCACATGTACCATTTGTCCAATCAGTCGTGACATATACAATATCTCCAATCACTCGTCACATATACAATATCTCCAATCAGTCGTGATATATATACAATATCTCCAATCAGTCGTGACATATACAATATCTAAATTCAGTCGTCACATATACAATACATCCAGTCAGTCGTCACATATACAATATCTCAATTCAGTCGTCACATATCCAATATCTCCAATCAGTCGTCACATATACAATATCTCCAATCAGTCGTCACATATACAATATCTCAATTCAGTCGTCACATATACAATATCTCCAATCAGTCGTCACATATATAATATCTCCAATCGGTCGTCACATGTACAATATCTCCAATCAGCCGTCACATAAACTATTTCTCCAATCGGTCGTCACATGTACAATATCTCCAATCAGTCGTCACATATACAATATCTCCAATCAGTCGTCACATATACAATATCTCCAATCGGTCGTCACATGTACAATATCTCCAATCAGTCGTCACACGTACAATATCTCTATCTCCAGCACGACGTTAAACCCAATTTCACCTCACCTCACCTCCAATCAGTAGTCACATGTACATTATCTCCGATCAGTCGTCACATGTACAATATCTCGAATCAGTCGTCCCAGATACATTATCTCCAATAAGTCGTCACATGTACAATATCTCCAATCAGTAGTCACATATACAATATCTCCAATCATTCGTGATATATACAATATCTCCCATCAGTCGTGACATATACAATATCTAAATTCAGTCGTCACATAAACAAAATATCCAATCAGTCGTCACATGTGCAATATCTCCAATCAGTCGTCACATATACAATATCTCAATTCAGTCGTCACATATACAATATCTCCAATCAGTCGTCACATATACAATATCACCAATCAGTCGTCACATATACAATATCTCTAGTCAGTCGTCACATATACAATATCTCCAATCAGTCGTCACATGTACAATATCTCCAATCAGTCGTCACATATACAATATCTCCAATGAGTCGTCACATATACAATATCTCCAATCAGTCGTCACATATACAATATCTCCAATCAGTCGACACATATACAATATCTCAATTCAGTCGTCACATACACAATATCTCCAATCAGTCGTCACATATACAATATCTCCAATCAGTCGTCACATATACAATATCACCAATCATTCGTCACATATACAATATCTCCAATCGGTTGTCACATAAACTATTTCTCCAACCAGTCGTCACATATACTATGTTTCCAATCATTCGTCACATGAACCATTTCTCCATTTTCTCGTCACATGTACCATTTCTCCATTTTCTCGTCATATGTACCATTTCTCCAACCAGTCGTCACATGTACCATTTCTCCAATCACTCGTCATATGTACCATTTCTCCAACCAGTCGTCACATGTACCATTTCTTCAATCGCTCGTCACATGTATCATTTCTCCAATCATTCGTCACATGTATCATTTCTCCATTGTCTCGTCACATGTACCCTTTCTTCAATCTCTCCTCACATGTACCATTTCTCCAATCTCTCGTCACATGTCCCCTTTCTTCAATCTATCGTCACACGTACCATTTCTTAAATCAACCGAAATGGTTCACATAAACTATTTCTCAAATCAGTCGTCACATATACTATATCTTTAATCAGTCGTCACATATACTATTTCTCCAATCAGTCGTCACATAAACTATTTCTCGAACCAGTCGTCACATATTCTATGTATCCAATCATTCGTCACATGAACCATTTCTCCATTTTCTCGTCACATGTACCATTTCTCCAAACACTCGTCACATGTACCATTTGTCCAATGACTCGTCACATGTGCAATTTCTCCAATCAGTCGTCACATATACAATATCTCCAATCAGTCGTCACATGCACCATTTTCCCAATCACTCGTCACATGTACCATTTCTCCAACCACTCGTCACATGTACTATTTCTCCAATCACTCGTTACATATACTATTTCTCCAATCAGTCGTCACATGTACCATTTCTCCAATGAGTCGTCACATGTACCATTTCTCCAATCTCTCGTCACATGTACCATTTCTCCATTTTCTCGTCATATGTACCATTTCTCCAACCAGTCGTCACATGTACCATTTCTCCAATCACTCGTCATATGTACCATTTCTCCAACCAGTCGTCACATGTACCATCTCTCCAATCACTCGTCACATGTATCATTTCTCCAATCATTCGTCACATGTATCATTTCTCCATTGTCTCGTCACATGTACCCTTTCTTCAATCTCTTCACATGTACCATTTCTCCAATCTCTCGTCACATGTACCCTTTCTTCAATCTATCGTCACACGTACCATTTCTTAAATCAACCGAAATGGTTCACATAAACTATTTCTCAAATCAGTCGTCACATATACTATATCTCTAATCGGTCGTCACATATACTATTTCTCCAATCAGTCGTCACATAAACTATTCCCATTTCTCTAATCTCTCGTCACATGTACCATTTCTTCAATCAGTCGTCACATGTACCATTTCTCCAATCAGTCGTCACATGTACCATTTCTCCAATCAGTCGTCACATATACAATATCTCCAATCACTCGTCACATATACAATATCTCCAATCAGTCGTGATATATACAATATCTCCCATCAGTCGTGACATATACAATATCTAAATTCAGTCGTCACATATACAATATCTCCAATCAGTCGTCACATGTACAATATCTCCAATCAGTCGTCACATATACAATATCTCAATTCAGTCGTCACATATACAATATCTCCAATCAGTCGTCACATATACAATATCTCCAATCAGTCGTCACATATACAATATCTCCAATCAGTCGTCACATATACAATATCTCCAATCCCTCTTCACATATATAATATCTCCAATCGGTCGTCACATGCACAATATCTCCAATCAGTCGTCACATATACAATATCTCCAATCGGTCGTCACATGTACAATATCTCCAATCAGTCGTCACATATACAATATCTCCAATCAGTCGTCACATATACAATATCTCCAATCGGTGGTCACATGTACAATATCTCCAATCAGTCGTCACATGTACAATATCTCCAATCAGTCGTCACATGTACAATATCTCCATCTCCAGGACGACGTTAAACCCAATTTCACCTCACCACACCTCCAATCAGTAGTCACATGTACATTATCTCCGATCAGTCGTCACATGTACAATATCTCCAATCAGTCGTCCCAGATACAATATCTCCAATCAGTCGTCACATATACAATATCTCCAATCAGTCGACACATATACAATATCTCAAATCACTCGTCACATATACAATATCTCCAATCAGTCGTCACATATACAATATCTCCAATCAGTCGTCACATATACAATATCTCCAATAAGTCGTCACAGGCACAATTTCTCCAAACAGTCGACACATATACAACATCTCAATTCAGTCGTCACATATACAATATCTCCGATCAGTCGTCACATGTACAATATCTCCAATCAGTCATCAACAATATCTCCAATCAGTCGACACATATACAATATCTCAAATCACTCGTCACATATACAATATCTCCAATCAGTCGTGACATATACAACATCTCAATTCAGTCGTCACATATACAATATATCCAATCAGTCGTCACATATACAATATCTCCAATCAGTCGTCACATATACAATATCTCCAATCAGTCGACACATATACAATATCTCAAATCACTCGTCACATATACAATATCTCCAATCAGTCGTGACATATACAACATCTCAATTCAGTCGTCACATATACAATATCTCCAATAAGTCGTCACATATACAATATCTCCAATCAGTCGACACATATACAATATCTCAATTCAGTCGTCACATATACAATATCTCCAATCAGTCGTCACATATACAATATCACCAATCAGTCGTCACATATACAATATCTCTAGTCAGTCGTCACATATACAATATCTCCAATCAGTCGTCACATGTACAATATCTCCAATCAGTCGACACATATACAATATCTCCAATCAGTCGTCACATACACAATATCTCCAATCAGTCGTCACATATACAATATCTCCAATCAGTCGACACATGTACAATATCTCCAATCGGTCGTGACATGGCGGTAAACATGTATCACCTGCATCACTCCGTGCTATCAAGCTGACACTAGGTGACATAACTGGAAAACTGTCCAAACTCATTCACACACTCACTCACCCACCGAAACCCACTCACTCACTCGCCCACCACTCACTCTTTTACTCACTCACGCACCTACTCACTCACTCACACATTCACTTACTCACTCACTCACTCACTCACCGAAACACACTCACTCACCCACCAAACTCACCCACACACTCACTCACTCACCGAGATACACTCACTCACTCTTCAACTCACCGAGCACAAACGTCTCCACAGTACAGCCGACGATACTGTCAGGCTCAGCCCAAAACTCGGCCTCATCCTTGAGTCTGAAGCCGTGGCGACATCCACAAAGGTTGCTGCTGTTGCACACCCCCAAGACGTCGAAGCACACAGCGCTTGTGTTACACTTTTCCCCATTGGCTAGCGTGCCCTGGAAGACACAGGCGTCCTCATTGGCTGAGAGTCGGTGGTACACCTGACACTCACAGACGTTGGTGTCTGGGTTGCAGTAGGTGAGGGTGTTCACGCACTTGGTGCTGGCGTTGCACGCCTCCCCCAGCCTCGAGGCTGAAACATAGGATACAAAGATGATGTTTTACCCACAGGTTAGGACTTTATATTGATCCCTAATAGGGGCATTGTCGTCATTACAAACACACTACCCGTGAAGATCCGGGTTAGATTTGGTCTTCAGCAATCCATGCTTGTCGTAAGAGGCGACTAACGGGATCGGGTGGTCAGGCTCGCTGACTTGGACAACACATGTCATCGTATCCCATTTGCGTAGGTCGATGCTCATGTTTTTGATCACTGGATTGTATGGTCCAGATTCGAATATTTACAGACCACCGCCATATAGCAGGAGTATTGCTGAGTGCGGCTTAAAACAAACAAAGAAACAAACAAACACAAACACTCTATTTAAAGCAATACTTAACCATGTAACAAAGCCTGACTGTTTGACATTTTGACGCATTGATGCGTCATTCCATATATCTGTGCTACCTTTCAGTGAGCATGGGACTATGGTCGCATAGCCTACGCCTGTCACAAACAAATCTCAGTATACTCACAATATGTTTGCCTTTTAGTACAGGCGACTTTAATACTAAGTAATTACTGAGGAATTTTATACAACTGTGTCCTCCCGCAAGCGTTATTCTATGCATAAAGTCGTTTCTGAGCGCAACGGCATTTGCATCAACAACTGTTTACAATCGAAAGTAATTCTGTGGGGTTTATTTGGAAATTGCTGGATCGAATTGGTTAAACAAATGTAACGAAGTTGAATGGTTCACACTTCGACCTTGGACTGCCTCCAGAACCACGCAGCATCTGGACGACAGCATGGTTTCACACGGTTTCTGATTTCACAGTCACGTTTCTGTCCGAGGTAACAAAACCAGGGGAATATACCCGAATTAATCCGAATGATCCCAGTGGCACAATAATTCGTCACAAGCCCCGCCATTCTAACCATGAACCAATTCAGATTCAGCAGTTCGCGCCAATATATTTTATTATTTTGAGACATGAAAGCATATTGTTTGTTTGACAATCACATACTACTGGATTACTTGTAATGTGTTTACCGATGATGCATTCATGTCCCGACTTGGAGACCACGTAACCCGGGTCACACAAGCACTGGTAGCCGTAGTCGCCGTTACACCGGCAGGTAGTTGTCGCCGGGCAGTCGCTGGCAGAGGTGCAGTTGTCGTAGGCGCTGTGTGCTGTTACAGGACAAAGAACGATGTTTAGCAATTCGTGAAGATTCGGGTTAGAATTTATCTTCAGTAACCCATGCTTGTTGTAAGAGGCGACTAAGGGGTTTGGGTGGGCAGGCTCACTGACGTGGTTGACACTCATCTTATCCCAGAGTGCGGCATAAAACAAGATTGTATTGTACTTCTCGTACTGTGGATCGGGTGGTCAACCGGATTGGCTGTGTATAACAATATCAATCTTTATTTTCAGTACTTTAACAGGCCACAGACCTGTAGTACATTTAAAGTTTACATGAGTATAATGTCATATTTGGGATTACACTTTCTTAGTAAAGTACAAATTCTAGTACTTTTTGAGTTGAGCCCCATCCGGGATTCGAACTCACACCCTCAGAATCAGGCACCTAATCGCCAGCACACAAAGCCAGCCGCCTAACCCGTTCAGCTACCGCGACTTCCAATATGGCACTTGTCCAAGGTATCCATGTAATAATCCCAAATATAACATATGTTACATTTGACCACTTTCTAAATGGCATTGTGTCATCATTTACAATGAGAAGTTAGAAGTCATCTACTAGGGGTGGGTATTGCAGAGAATATTCATATTGCGATATATTGCGAAGCGAAAGCATGTATTGCGATATGCTTTGCAATATATTGCATGAAGTATTTTTAAACAAAAAACTACTTATAATCGAGTTACTGCTTGATTTATAGAGCAAAAACACAACAAAATCACTATGCTTGATTAAGCTTTAATAACAAATTTTAATCATGATAAAATAAAAATGTGAATAATATTTGGCACAAATGAAACAAGGAAATATCCGAAGATTTCCGAGTGTTACGACGTTTTCCGAATGCATGTCAAAATACCGGTTTTCGATCAGCGTATCGCAATACGTATCGTTTTCATGTCTGAACCGGTAAATACCGGTAAACCGGTTATATTGCGCAGCCCTATCATCTACAAATGCCTTCTATAACAATCTGCTTTCTTAAACTCACAACGAAATAGATATACATTCCCAGAGTCTGTAATAATAATGTGGAAGTGTCTGTTAACAGTGAAATTATTTTGTTTACACTTGGATGCTTATAATAGTATGGCTTTGGGCATTTCGTTCGTAGAGTGGTATAAACAGGACAGATTAGAAGGAAATGTAGTTCATCCTCAAATTACATAATTGACATATTCTGTATTGGGTGTCATCATAATAAGGGTTGCGTACAATACCACCCACGACTATTTACTGGCCGCGTCATAGTCTTGTATATTTAAAAAATAACAAGCATGATCTCCCAGCGACATTAGTCCTTTTTTTAAATATTAAATTTCAATTTGTTTAGGTGACTATTTCTTTACACGACATAAGAGTATGGGAAATCAGTGTACAGACGCTGAGGCTGACGGAAATGAAGTTCCATGTACTGTGAAACTCCCACCCCAGTAGGAGGTCTAGGACAAAAGCCACCCGACAAAAAACACCTGGACAAAAGCCACCCGGACAAAAGCCACCTTGGACACATGCCACTTTGGACAAGTGCCACCCCGTTCAGATGTCGGCTTTCGTCCTATGTGGCTAGTGTCCAGGTGGATTTTGTCCGGGTGGCTTTTGTCCAGGTGGATTTTGTCTGGGTGGCTTTTGTCCTGCTCCCCCAGTAGACGTATATAGCTATTCCAAAATGGGAGTGAGTAGGCTTTACGCCGCTCGTAGCAATATTCTGGCAATATCACTGTGGGGGACACCAGTAATGGGCTCCACACATTGTACCCAAAATGATAAAAAAAACAAAACAATGACCAGACAATACGTGAGAACGGGGCTAAACTGCAAACACACTTTATGTGAGTCTTACCTGATGTAGAAGACAAAAGCGCCAAGCAAATAAAGACAAGTAGGTTAAAACTCTGCTTCATCTGAAACATACACGATAATGTGAGGTAGAAACATGGTTAAAGACACCAAAATGCCTATATACTCAAAAATAAAACATATGCTCCATATATTAGTGACAAATTAATACTCATTTATAAATGTAGTTTTACACTGTTCAAGTGTTGAGGTGAAGTGATACCGTCACGTTCAAGATTAGTGCTGTTGTGTATCTTTATTGCTCAAGGGGGACAGCCCTCCTTGTCGTAAGGGACGACTAACGGGATCGGGTGGTCAGGTTCGCTGACTTGGTTGGCATATGTGAGTGAGGTGAGGTGAAATTGGGTTTAACGTCGTGCTTGAGAATATTTCGCTCATATGACGACGTGCATGCGTGTGTATGTGTATGTGCGGCTGCTTGTACTAGCCCAGACTGAAGTTGGTTTTATAGTGCTAACCCACTGAGATACCATGCCGCGGTGAAGCATGACTACCCCACTCACACACATTATACTGACTCCGAGCCGACCAGTCCTTGTTGTACCAATTAATGCCGAGCGCCAGGCAGGGACCAACAAGTACCATATTTTAACGTCTTTTGGTATGACGCGGTCGGGGATCGAACCCGCGACCTTCCGCTCTCCGGGCGGACGCTCTAACCACTACACCACGGAGGCGGTCGGTTGGCATATGTCATCGTATCCCAGTTGCATAGATCATGCTGTTGATCACTGGATTGTGTGGTTAGGAATCGATTATTTATAGACGACCGCCATGTAGCTGGAATAATGCTGAGTGCGGCGTCAACCAACAAACAAGAGTGACTCAAATTGCAGGGGCGACCCAGAGTGGGGTGCGGGGGAGCGCACCTCCTGTCCCTCTCCCCCGAGAAAAATCCCTGAGGAGCATTCCTAAGCTTTGGACTTATGTGCTTATGTGATTTATGTACACCCCCCACCCACCGCCTATACAATATGCACCCCTGAAGTGTCATAAATTCTATCTGATGACATCGACGTTTTTTCACTTTAGAAGTATTAATCTGTAGTATCGTACTAACTTCAAGTGAAACTGGAGTGCCTGTACAGGAGTCACACTGACAAAACAAACAGGAATCATAAGGATGAGTGAGTGAGTTTAGTTTTACGCCGCTTTTAGCAATATTCCAGCAATATCACGGCGGGGGACACCAAAAATGGGCTTCACACATTATACCCATGTGGGGAATTGAACCCGGGTCTTTGGCGTGACGAGCGAACGCTTTAACCATTAGGTTACAACATCACCCTGGAATAAGAAAGGTAAGATACTTTATGGGGGACAACTTATTTATATTATGATGCGACATTTATATTATCATAGCTTGGCAACGGTATGAGAATCTATACCGAAACGTTGGCTGTTGATCACCTGATTGTCTGGTCCAGACTCGGTTAATTATTTACAGACCACTGCAATATTGCTGAGTGCGGCGTTAAACAAAAACAAACCAACCGAAACGTTGCATCATAATATAATCCTTACGTTGTCATCTATGGAGTATCTTACCTTTCATTTTTTCATCAACTTTTAAAAGGCCAGTCAAAAATATGAAGGAATCATGCTTAGATCACACGATTTACTTTTCCGTTTACATTTTCCGCGTTGGCTATCTGTACAAGTGCAAGCATATCGCCGAAAACCCATGTATAAAACATCAAAACTGTAAAAGCATAAGTCTTTTATCCTTCTAATAAATTCTACTCAAAATTATTAGTTGAACACGTACCTTGGAATTGTTCTAATATACTGCAGGTATATCCCAAGACGGCCATTCATTGACTGCCACATATATTTTGAATGATCGGGCAAGGAAAAATGTTCTCACTTCCATGCCCACTGTCAGAATTTTTTCAAATGAATTGCAAACAAATCTTTCTCTGAAAACCTCACGTCCCATATCAATATCATTCGTATCATGAAAACTAAGAAAGATTTTACACTGCTTTCCCAGTACCTCACAGTGGCAGAGAGCAGGCTGTAATTACAATAGAGCGGTGTAAGGCGCGTATCATTGTTTATCCAGAGTCGGATATCTGCTTTATAATTTCTAGGAATGCTCATCTTCTATTTGAAATACGAATAAAGTATTCCGGCTGTTCTGTCGTATTGATGAAACAAAATATCTGCTTTGGATAGAAAGCCGACGTCTTTCAGTATTTGCTTTAGGCAAATACTGTGAAAAGAATAGGGGACAAAACACGCACCTGTCCAATGCCTATTTCGTTTTCTTCCTGGGTCACTTGATTAGGTGAATGTTTTTCATTTGTTTTCAAAATATCCGTTATGATAAAGCTATTTTTAAAAATTATAACTGTTGTGGCATTGTTTTCTTTGCTAGATTCCAGATGTATTTGGTCGCTGTCATCCACATAGTGAAGACTCTATCATAAAGACTTTGACGTGTGGAGATGGTGTTTGCAGTTGTAAAAAGTTTTAGTTCATGCAGTTATTCTATAATACCTTGCTTTCCGGATTATCGGCTCCGATTAATAGTCGATTATATAATTCCCCCTATCGGTAATGTTCCACAAGATTGAATTAGCTCACCCCTTCAAAACCTGCATGAGACCCCATGCAATAGACCATCCCCTCAATAGTTCAAATTGCACCAACTGTCATAAATCTTCATTCAGCCATGTGTGACAGGGGCGGTGGGGTAGTCTCGTGGTTAAAGCGTCCGTTCGTCACGCTGAAGACCCGAGTTCGATTCCCCACATGGGTACAATGTGTGAAGCCCATTTCTAGTGCTCCCCGCCGTGATATTACTGAAATATTGCTAAACGCGGCGTAAAACCATACTCGCCCACTCATATGTGACATTCTTCCAACGAGTGTCATTTTCCCAAATATATTTTCCCTTTCACAAATATCGTTCGTACTCGGTTACAATACATCATTATCGTTCATACAACGTAGTGGTTGTCAGCGAGACCTTCAGGTCTTGAACGTGCCTCAAGCAGTTGGTGACACTATCACGCCAGGGTTTACGCTCATATGTGATCTGGGTGCGACTTTGTGAAGCTGGAGTTGCTCCCGCCCTAACAATCCTCAGCGGACACGTCGTCCACGTGGGAATAGTTAATGGGTAGAATATGTCCAACAAATGATCGTAAAACGCAACTCTACTGGATCGTGTAGTTTTGAGTGGGCGCCTGTCTGGTCGATGTTTTGTTGGCTGCGATTGGCCGAGCGATATCATCACATTTAGATATTCATTCGTAACTACTCGCCTCTTTCCGTGACCTACAAGAAGACTCGTACCCCTATTGTACGCCATTATTGCCAAGAATCGTGGCAAATTAATCAAATCGCGCGTAGTAAAAGGCATTTCGAAGCATGAAAACGGCGGCACCGTTGAAGTTTGAAACTTCGCTAAACTATGAAAAGCACAATTTAAACATAAACTTTGAGCTAAAGGATCAGAAACCTTAAACTTTAAACACTGAAACATATTTACAAAGAAAATGACTATATTGCTGTTTTGCCCACGGGATATTGGGTATTCTAGGAGCCATGTTTAGAAATTCAGAGTTATCTTTCCTTGGTAATTGTACTAGACTGTTTTCATCTCCATATCCGTTTGCGCTTAGACAGGGCCCAGTCGTAAACATGGCCACGAGAGGGGTACGAGACGCCATCCGGCTTGCCGGAATGACAGGAGTAGTTACGAATGTTAGATATTCAATGGTCGTCGATATCACGTGTGCAAAATACGCATCACGGGCAACCCTTTTAATCATCATCATCATCATCATCATCATCATCATCATCATCATCATCATCATCATCATCATCATCATCATCAACATCAACATCATCATCATCATCATCATCACCATCACCATCATTGTGGTCATCATTATCATCATCATCATCATCATCATCATCATCATCAGGGGCGGTGGGGTAGCCTAGTGGTTAAAGCGTTCGCTCGTCACGCCGAAGACCCGGGTTTGATTCCTCACATGGGCATAATGTGTGAAGCCCATTTCTGGTGTCCCCCGCCGTGATATTGCTGGAATATTGCTAAAAGCGGCGTAAAATCAAACTCACTCACTCACTCATCATCATCATCATCATCATCATCATCATCATCACCACCATCACCACCATCATCAACATCATCGTCGTCGTCGTCGTCGATATCGAATGAAAACAAACAGCGTAAGATGGAGATTATTATTGAGGGGATGTTTCTGACTCATAACATTGGAGAGTTATGCCATTCTGTATCGTAGTATACCGCTTATATACTGCTTGAACATTGTCTCACTCACTTAGTCACTAGTCACTAGGGCTGTGTATTGGCAAATAAATTGTATTGCAATACATTGCGATTCAGGTACCCATATTGAGATATGTATTGCGATATATTGGGAACTTAAGTGTTTGGCAGTAAAGGGCACTAATTGCACATGTCGATCCTATTTTCTACATTATAAGTCCCTAAACATACATGTTATGCTTCTGATAACATCATTCTCCAAATTAGGTCGCATAGTCATGGATTCTATTTTCTTTTTATACAATTTATTGTATTACAGTATGCCGTTTTGTAATTGGGGGCGGTGGGGTAGCCGAGTGGTTAAGGCGTTCGCTCGTCACGCCGAAGACCCGGGTTCGATTCCCCACATGGGTACAATGTGTTAAGCCCATTTCTGGTGTTCCCCGCCGTGATATTGCTGGAATATTGCTAAAAGCGGCGTAAAACCAAACTCACTCACTCACTCACGTTTTGTAATTGAATAACGAAGGAAAACATTTGTTGTGAATGAAAATGTGTAAATTTTAAGTTAAACCATGAAGATAAACACAAAAACTTCATATATGTTCTTTACCCAATATACCGGTTCTCGGAAAATATATTGCAATGAGTATCGTTTTAAAAGCGTATTGCGATAAACCGGTATATCGGTAAAACCGTGCGGTCCTACTTAGTCATACACTTGATTGATGGATTAGTGATGGGTGAGTGAGTTGCTGTTCACTCTGTGGTGTGTGGTCCTGTGCATAGAGCTCAGGACACAAATCAGTTGAAGTTAAACAACGTTGGGCGCGGAGATTTCTTGGATGGGTGACCGTGTTTGGCATCTTGACTCCTGATAGTTTCTGGGATTTCTGTCCTGCTCCACTACGAAGCACATGTGTTATAACCTTAGGCAAATGGGTTCGTTCAAACTTGCCTCTGTTCACTCAGCAGAAAATGGGTACCCGGTGGGATCAGTCATGTGACTATTAGCATTCTAATAATACACATATTGTTTAAGTGCTTTGAACAAGCATTATGCGTGGAGAAATGCACATGGTAAATGGACTATTACTATATTATTATTCACTCCACATTGAAGAAGATTTTACTCATATAGGGCCTGGGGTGGGGGATGGGGAATCCTGAAGTGATGGAGGTCAAAAATGACGTGTGAAAGAAAGTATACACCCTTGTTTGATGGCGACTTAAATGGAGAAATGAAACAAACCTGAAGTGATAACTAATTGTGACTTCCAGAGATAAATCCCCACATGGGCACAACATGTGAAGCCCATTTCTGGAGTTTCCCTCCGTGATATAGCTTGAATATTGCTAAAAGCGGCGTAAAACTAAACTCACTCACTCACTCACTCTCTTCCAACAGAGGTTACTCATGTCATATCTTGTTCGTAGGAAGATATGACTTGAGTAACCTCTGTGGGAAGAGAATGGTCTTCATAGTAAAGTTAAGGTAACAAGTCAAAACATTGATTACACAATGTTCAGTTTCGTTTCCTGCTGACTGGGTACCGACCTATTGCGCAACTTAGTACAATAACCAGTCCTGAATTTTGAGACTGATTCATTAAACTGGATACATAAATATTAATCAGTATTATTAGATACATCTAATCACTTGTATATTGCAACACTACGCTCCATCTAATCCTTGCAAACGTGCAGCGAGCTCTGTCGTACAGCGAGCTCTGACAAACAGAAAGCTGGAAATCGTGGAAATTTCAAAACGAGGCTCTGCCGTTAGAAATGTTTGGCGGTCTGGTACGAACTTGATATTATTTTTAATCACATTGTGCGTTACAGAACTATTTGGAATAAGCGCAAAACACACATAACAGATGTAACCAAAGAACCAGATGCCCTGTGTATCATTTTACGACCTCATCAAACAGGGGCAGCCTGTGGCGTCTTAGTTAAGGTCATGCTGCCTACACCTCGCCATAAAATATAGAAATACGATGTTATTAAAGTTTAAAATTAAAATTCATTTTTAAGTACCATTTTCTTATGAAACAAGGAATTGGAATTCAGTGTAACCATAGTTGTTTGTGATGTCTATTTCCACTTTCACATGAGAAAATTCGGATCGGCTGAAAATGCATTGTGGGAATGTAAACTTTGCGAACGTTGCCGTATCGCTGTTCAATTGTGGGTCGAACTGAGGTATTATGCGTCGAAAACCATAAATGCAATGTTTCCACCAGTGATGTTAGCCGAGTGAAGCAACTGCAAACCAAGAAATGGGGTGCTGCGGAGTAGTTTAATGTAGGAGGCTGTACGAGGCGATGACAACTGACATGCATCGTGACGTCGATTACCAAGGGGGCAGACGAGCATGACGTAGTGACGTCATTACAGTGTGACGTCATGCAAAATGTGTACTACAGAACAACATTCATCCGCAACCTCTTTATGAAACCGGTTTCGATTTGAAACCATAAAAATAGCAAAAATACGCTATTTTGTCAATTTAATGCATGTAAGACGTGGGTAATAAATAAAATACCACACTCGGTCTCATTACATACGAATTATACGAAACTCGTGACCTTCTTATGTTA